TCTAAGGAAACCACATGCTTCTGTTTGGGCACCCAGGTAGTATCACAGCCGTCACACAAATCAAATGATATTTGTGTGGCCCTTATGTATCTGTTGCCCCCTTGTATCAGTATTTATGTGTTTAAATAAACAAATAAGAATAAATAAAATAGATCCCACCAGATATGACAAAGCTTGAAAACTACGTTCAGACTGCAAGCCCAAGTTTTAAAGGTCACTCGAATATCCTAGGAAAAGTAATATGGGCAGCTACCCATACAATTCCAGAACTCCGAGGTCTATCACACAAAGAGCGGCTTAAAAAGCTAGACGTCTTTACTCTGGCCTATCGCAGGTTAAGAGGTGATCTAATTTTGATGTATAGAATACTAAGAAATGATCTTCGACCTAATATATCCCCTTTTTCCCACTAGATCGAGACATTTCAGAGGACATAACAGGCGAGTAGAAAATCCAAGAATGAACAAAATATCCAAGGCATATGTATGCCTTGGATATATGAACAGGTGTATATACAGGTATTCACACCGTGTCACCGAATCTTGGAACCTGTTACTCGAAGCAGTGTTGACTGCCACTTCGATTGGCACATTCAAGAGAAGACTAGATACTTACAGAATCACACTAGGAAAGGAATAACAGGCCGTATGTCCTCTATATTTACCACACAAATCCGTATGCGTTTCATGGACGACCTTGGAACGGCCTTGTGTGACCTTGAGAATACCCATTTAACGAGGTCAAATAAGGGTAGTAAATCAGTGTGAGGAACTATGATAAAGGTTGAAAACGGCAGTCAGGACTTTCATTACGAACTGATGTCGGTCATTATACTTTTTCATCAAGCGGATGAGCTTCTCGCCAAAACCAAACACTGTTATGAATCTAAATGTCGTAGTTTTTTAGTGACCTACCTTTGTCAACAGAACTCGATTGGTTCAATGAAAACAATTATTATTATAACCAATTGAACCAGTGATTGTTTTGCTGTGCTCATTTCTTTAATTATGCTAATGGCAGCCATAACACTCACACTCCTGTTGACTTTGAACTTGTACAAATTCGGTTACGCTTAGTAACCACTCTTGTACTCCCTCGGCACGATCTCGGTATTCTTTCGATACCACGAGATCTCCAACAAATACATATCGACTACAGCCATCCTTTGCCTTTTGATATTGGTTTACGAGGATTATAGTGGTTGATTGGCACGTAGTCTTCTTGTAGTAGTGTTCATAGTCAATAGCGACTCGACTCCAAGCTACAGTCTCACCGTTGCTTTTTTGGCATTAATTTGGTTATTGTGAAGAACCAGGGAAATGTCGTTGGATCGTATTCAAGCCTCTTGGCTTTTGGGTCACTGAATGTCGAACGTTTACCGATCCTCATCAAGATCAAGGACAACAAACGCGCATCAATTAGTTGCAAGTCATGGACTGGCCCATGAGACAGTAATCTCACTCTGTTCTTTTACCTATTCTTACAGATACATTTTTGTCATAACGTTATGTCTTAGCTATACAGTCATCAAAGTATTCATAAGGCATGGATACAACTAAAGAGTAACCCATGTTAACTGCTAGGTGTGATCTCGATGTGAGCTGGGAGGCCACGCCATCCCCGTACAACTCGAGTAGATACCACGATTATCCGACAAAGATCATGTTCATACTTTGCTCCTGCAACGACTACTGCTTAAAGAAGTTAGACTAATTGTAGTTCAGGGAATCCAAAAAAGGATTTTAACATATTACGGCTGATCATATGATATTACAACATTTGTAATCTTCATTCACAAGCTAAGGCAGAAAAAGAAACAATGTAGATAGCATTTACATGCGTATCAAAAGTAACAGTTATATCAATCAATTGCAAGTTGAGCCTTTTTACGATTGATATAATCAAACTGTAGATATCGGATGTGAATGTTGTAGAGGTAGATAAATTCACAAAATAAGTAGTTCTGAAAGTTTACGACATTGATGCTCACCTCATCTGTTTTGCTAGAAACACTAACTAAAAACGGTCGGTCAAGCATCCTCACCAGATCACGAATGTGTGCGCCGTGTTACGTATCTCTTGCGACCGTAAGCCGGCTTAGACCAATTGCTTCTCGACTCATCGATAGCTTTCTAAATATATATTCGAACTCCTTCGTTTCTTACTTCTGATTTGACTGGGTTGGTGTGATTTGATTTTAAATGTGTTACATGTAAGAGACTTGCCAAACTCCGAATACCTGTGGTATCTTTGATGTGATTACTTATAGAATGTCATGCAAAAAGAAGCGATACTGCAACTTACTACAGTTATACGAATTATTGAATCTGCGTTTGACCGAAAATTCCTTACACATAGATGAACATATGTGACTTTCACATACTTATCATTCCTTATTTCACAAAATCCTTTGAGTTTATTACCTTATGGCTTTGAAGTAGTTCCTGTAGGTGAGAATAGTATCATCTAACAAGATCAATCAAAGCCACAAGTGAATATAACACTAAGTTAACCCTAAAGAAAAATCATTCGAGACCTTGCGTAACATTCATTAGCACTGCTAACATGGAGGATGTTATGCTAATAGTCACCTGCAGAACTTTTTGCATGTTGCATATTGTCAATGGGGTTTCATGTGGGCCTACGATGTTCACAGAACTAGGAACTAAGACGCCTGATATGCTCCGATACAATCGTTTTTTTCAAATCAGCAACAGCCATTTACACACAACTCAATACAACTCCGACGGTCATCAGGGCCTAATCTCTTATTTTGGTGTAAATTTTAAGCGTTTTGGGTAGATTTGGGCGAAGCCGCAGTATAAGACTTTAGAATTTTGTGCCATTTCCCCAAATTTCTCCAAGATCTTAGAAAAACTACTATGTTCCTTATAATTTTGAAGAAAACCCCGAAACCCACCTAATGTTCATCAAAATAGAGAGACTTGGAGGAAGAAGACCGATTGCAGGAGAATTTATGTTCGAAGTAGAACGAGCAACACAAAACGTATTGGTACACTGCCGTACATAGAGTATATAAAGATTTACTTAAGTAAAGACAATGACAACCAACCAGAAATCAAAGGTCATCATATAAATTGAATAAGAGAAGAGTGCACCAGCGGTCATTGTTCCCAAAGTGAATCTAGAGATTTTAATTAAATTGGTTTTTTCTTCTGATCGCTTCAGGAGTTGCGTCAAAGAAAGGGTAGAAGCGTCACAAGATGACACTGAAGTTCTCTACCTTACTTCTATTAGTTATCTTAATATTGTTCATTATCTCAGGTGCTCCTAGATCCCCCGAGCAAACTCATCAAGATGTGTATACCGGAATATGTTCTTCACAACACTTATGTACCCATAAGATGTTTGTGAACAACAGTAATAATATCGTAAACACAGTAAATTGCTAAGTGAAATAAGTCAAACTGCCTACAATATTTTCGGAAATAAACTTATCTGGTAGATTTGACGTGTAAAAAGCCAGTGGTGACAAAGGGTAAATGCGGAGTACTGCAACTAATTTTTGGCTTTAAGTAATGTTGTTGACTTTGCCAAACATTTGTTTTAGTTTGAGTCTTAAAAGAGCCCAGATGAATACATAGTATCCATAGAATGAATAGTTGGGGATGACCTTAACATTGCAGAAACTTCATGGCTTGATTTCACAGTATATTTTTTGCATATTGTCCCAGTTTTCCGGCGACAACCCGACAGTAAGAAATTACGCAGGTGGTGTTCGAGAGAAAAGACATTAGGGGATAGCTCATAGTGTAAAATAGAGTAAAATATTTAATGGAAAAGTTGATGCAAATAGCCTAGATGGCTTGCATTAATTGCCAGACAGTGTGTATTTACGTCGATCAAGCTCCATATTTGCTAGTGGATAATGTTTTAACAAGCCTATTTCACTGAAGCGTTTTCATGCCATTAAAGCTTGTCAATGAACTGTTATTTATTATGCTTGTGATTAACTAGAGCAGTGTCAAAGCAGATCAGTTCCCATCGACTAGGTGTTACCGCATTCACCATTTCCGATCTTTCTTCAATGTCAAATATAAAATTTAAGTCTCAGTCATCGCATGCCCTGCTTCATAGTCCGTATGTTCGACAGCCAATACTTCTACAAACTCACTCTTATACTAATGACCAAGGTAGCAAGAGTGGTCGTACAGACTTCTTTCGGATGCAAACATTTAAACAAGAATGTTCAGATGCCACAGATAGTCAGGTTTTGACGTGTTTACACGCGACACTTTTATAATCGATTAAAACAAACCCAGTCTAATCAGACGTTAGAAATGAGGGAGTTCGGAAATATATTTGGACAGTCCCAGATATGTCAAGAGACGTTTAATGTGAGCTAGCTAGTGGTTCCAAGGGATGCGTAGCACAGCATATAAACTCGTGATCTGGTGCGGAAGCGTGACTGAGCTCTTTCAGCTAGGATGTGTTCAGTAATGCGGCAAGCATCAATGTTGTAGACATACAGAATTATTTTGGTGATTTATTTACCACTGCTGGAACTTCTGGCATGGACAGGGTTCACTCTGATGTACCAATATAAAAAGCATCAATCCTTGCATCACCTCAGATTCGCCCAGATTTTTATATGTAGTCAAATTCTGGAGTTCGTTATCGGCTAAGGTCGTCAAAGCGACTTCCAAGGAATCTTTTAAGAGGAAACTTGTTGTATTTCCAAGGACTCGAGACAGTAGAGCCCTGTAACATGTGAGCTTTTTTACTTTCCTTGTTGAATATACCTTGGTTCATGCATGGTATCATCATTTATCCACAGCTACCACATAATTGAGCCCTTTAAGTAATAGATTTCACAACGATTTAAACCATATACAAACCCATCCATAAGGTAGGTTATATACATTCAATGTTAGTATAAATGTTTCTTTCATAGTCGTCTTTTAAAATGATTGATTCAGAATGCAATGAATTCAGGATTGATAGTTACTCTAAATGGGCTGTGAAGGTCAGATTGAAACATTGTATATTAGTCACAAATTTGAGCTCAAGGTATATTCGCGTGATGACTCGGAAAGGTACTGCAAAGTTGGATGAGCTTCGCAAGATCGAGGGTCAGGTGCAAACTTTTTGGGAGTCGAATAAAACATTCGAAGCAGACGTTCCTTTGAAAAACAGTGAAACGTAACTATTCACGGTCGACGACATTTTTTTAGAATTGAAAAATACTTCGTAACTTTCCCTTACCCCTATATGAATGGAAGATTACATTTGGGTCACACATTTTCCCTATCAAAATGCGAGGTAAGCGGAACTATTTTGTGAATGCTCGAAGTTTTCCGTAGGATACGAACGACTGAAGGGCAAGTTGGCTTTATGGCCGTTCGGTCTTCATTGCACCGGTACGCCTATCCTAGCATCTGCAGACAAATTATCACGAGAATGCCAGGAGTTCGGTTGTCCACCTGTATTCCCACACGAGGCTTTGGAGCTTTCTGCTAGTATGGAGACAGTAGTACTTACTTCGCCTCTTATACTTAACATATAACTTAATAATTTAGACTCCTGCTCAAGGTAAAAGCAAAAAAAGTAAAGCTATTGCAAAGACTGGTGGCGCAAAGTTTCAATGGCAAATAATGGAAAGCCTCGGCATGGATAACAATGAAATCGCTAAATTTAAAGACCCTGAATACTGGTTGAAATTTTTCCCTGCTTTAGCTGTTGACGACCTACGAAAACTAGGTGTTAAGGTGGGTTTTATGTACTTTAGTCGTTTTTATTTTATCTCTGGTGCTGCATTTATATTTGCTAAACTTTATTCCTTGTACTTCATGTATGTAAGTGATATCCGTACTTCCAGCTTTATTTATTTATCTGATCCTTCGTGATTGACACGATTAATAGCTAACGTCTGGACCATACTTTTTATGAGAGGAGAGTTCTTCCATGTAACAAGCAATGCGTATTCAATAATTAGGGATTATGTGCCTAAACTGCTCTGAAATCCCACGCATTTACTATTTCAGTCACTGTTTCGCATACTGAAGGCCGGTGTAATTAAATCTTCAGGTGTAGGTTGGTCTATATGGCTTGGACCCACATTCGAAGTGTGGGTGCCAATGATATTACCCCGTTGTTTAAATCAGAGTAGGTTTGAACATGTAATTTAGTAGTTAAAAGCCGAATATATGTCATAAAGTAATTGCTCCACTTACAGCCGACAATAGTTAACATACGACTAGGCATTATTATTTATCTTAACTGGTCAACCCTAATGGGTTGGTGTCTGACGAAATCTCTGCACAGATCCAAAAAGCTCGTTTGGCTTTTTCCAACTTCACAGAAGGCGCAGTCGAGATATCCGTCCCCAAATAAGGGACGAGTATACTACGCATCAGTTCGTTCTATTTTACTTTACGACTGCAAAACGTGGCCATTAAGAGTAGAGGATACACATAAGTTACTGATATTTAATAACGGATGTCTTAGAAATATTGCTCACATCCGCTGGGATCACCAGGTAAGTAGTACTGAGGTTGGACGCAGGGTATTATTCAATGATGGTAAATCAGTTGATGACATTATGAATCCTCATCGACTGAGATGGTTGGGCCACGTATTACGCATGATCAACAACCGATTACCACGACGCGCAATGCTGACTAGTGTTGTAGACGTAAAGATGTTAGGGGCGGCTAAAGCCAAACGTGGCATCAGTCCATAAAGTCACTAACTTCTGGTCTGAGCCACGTTTGTGGATGCAGATTATTTGGTTGGGGTCTGTGTGACCATCGTTACCAATGGTTGGAGACTGGGTGACATGGCTCAGAATCAGACACAATGGCGTAGGTGTGTACACTTTGTTTTCCTTTAAACCGTGAGATTAAAATTGCTTTATTTCTTTCAACAAACTAATTATTTCTTCCTGTACTATATTCCTATATACAATCTTTCTTTTATATGTTACCACTATTGAATTAACTGCTTCTATGAATTCGGTGTTCATCTTGTTGTGCTAATGAGGTATGGAAAGTTGGACGGATGCATATATGTGCCTGGTCCTACGTTTTCGCTTACTAACTTGTCACACTTCATATAAAAGAAATCAGTTATCTAGTCATCAACGTAGATCTTAGCAAATATGTGAACTGATGCAAGTTGCCGTACCCCATTATTTGGACGTTAAAGTAGCAAGATGTACAATCAAAAAGGTTGTACAATGGAATAGGCTAAGCATTGAAAATCAGATTTGAAGTGAGTGGAAGGGTATACTTAAAAGGATACCATAATTCAAGTTTGAAAGATAAAGAATGAATGCATATGCGCTATTGTAAACTGTTGTAATCCCATGCCACTTTCAGTCTGCAGCTACTGATCGCCATTACCTTGCGAACGCCAACCAGACTAGATCTATATCTTCGTTTCATCGCCCTTAGCTTTCGGGTAGAAAAGCAGAAGTAGGAATTAATTAGTTTGAAATCAGTGTGATGGTTGTGGGAACGGGAATATTTCCTGCGGTCTATAATCGAACGGAAGTGCTATTAGTTAAAGGAAATAAATCTAATGAGGCCTCTAATAACTAGCTAGTCAGGGTTCTTAAATACAGAAACACTCCATATAATCATATAGAACTACAATACAGCGTGATTTTTAAGATAATACGTCTTCATACTTATTTCTTTTCGGAGGACGTTTTGCTCATTAGTATTTACGTTAATTGTTCTGTTGGTCCTTCATATCGCCTTAAGTCTGTAAATGTTGATGGCTACAAAACGACGGTACTAAGACAAGGTTATGATGTCTGTTGATTTTCTCATTCAGAAGGCCCTAATAAGGTTAACAATTTTATATCTCAATAAGTTTATTAGGTAAAATAATCTCTTGAATTTTTACAATGTTAGGTTGATTGGAGGAGATCCTTCATTACAACAGATGCTAATCCCTACTATGATTCATTTGTTCGTTGGCAGTTCCTGACTCTTAAGAAGCAAGGAAAAATTCAGTATGGTAAACGATACACCATATTCTCTGCTCGAGATAATCAGCCATGTATGGATCATGAACGAACTGTTGGAGAGGTAAGGTACGGTATGACCCAACTTGTATTTACTTCAAGGGTGTCGTTCCACAAGAATATACGTTGATTAAGCTGAAAGTCATATCCGAATTTCCTTCGAAATTTAGGTGAGTACTTTTTCGGGCATTAGTTTCTGATCCAAATATTTCACTTGTCGCTTATCTTCATCGTTAAAATAACTGAGCCATACCACCACTGATTAGAATTATTGAGTCCGCCTCAACTTGATGTCTTCTTTCAAAATTGTCTGGGCTAATGGTTTCGTAGACTGATGCTGTCTTAATTTACTCATTGGCTTCTTTCCAAAGCTACTCATGTGTCAGCTGACTTCGGGTAAGGCATTGGTAACTTATGTTCTAACCACGTTAGTCAATAGAGACTTTCATAAGCTGATTGATAGTTACTTTTTCACAAGTTTCACGTTTTTCCAACAACGGTTGCTAAAAATAATCTCAGTAAAAACAATTCAATATCATGTTAAACTCCTTGTAGAGTTGTTTAAATTTAATAAGCCTCACATCTCGCAAAAGTTTTGACTATAAAGATAGTATTGTCACATCAAAACTGACAATGTTTTACATATATTTGAAAATAATTTAGTTAAAGTGAAATTTATTTACAGACTCATCTTAATGAGTGTTACTTATCTGTGATGTAAAGAAGATAATATACTGACCTAGACGACTTGGATCAGTTGCATGTAGTTGTTCACGTAACTAAAAGTACTATTTATTGAACTAAGTATTTACAAAATTTGAGCTTCTTGAATGAGGATGATATCAGTTTTTAATATCTACAATTCATTTTTTAAGGAAGAAAATTCACTGTTTATAGCGTCACAGTTTTGTATGTGCTTCAGTCCCACTTGTATAAAGTTAAACATTTAATGTTAATAGGTTTCTAAAGTAAACATGTTGGTTATGACTGCTTACGTTTTGCGGTGAATAAGTTCGTCTTATTTTTGTCCTTAGTTGCGTAAACCAATTAAAAGTACCCATATTCCTTGTTGCGGCAACTCTACGTCCTGAAACGATGTTTGGCCAAACTAATTGTTGGGTACATCCAGATATAGATTATGTCGGAGTTAAAAGCACACAACAATCTTGTATACTAATTTGTACTCAACGCGCTGCTCAAAATATGGCGTATCAGGTTTGTCTTACGTACAATTTTGCCATTGAATGATTATTAAAGTGTAATATGATGTTGGCAAGGCTACTGTGTTCATAATATTAGTATTTAAACCATTCTACGTATTTGGTTGGGAATAAATGGTTTTTGTACTTGATAAAGTACTAGATACTAGTCATTTTCTTGATAAATGCAAACTAATTGGCTGTAGCAAAAACTTAAACTCTGTATTGTGCCCGTAATTTCCCTTCAAATCAGTTGACTGAATACTGACTGAGTTAGTGTTTATTAAATGATAATCCATTTAGGAAATCAACCAATAGTGGTTTTTGTTAATGAGGAGGAATCCACTCTAATTTCGTGTAAAACGCAACCAAACATTACGACAGACTCATCACGGACGTATGGTATAGCCAATGTTTTACTTCATGACTAATGTTGCGATGGCACAAAATATGGTCCCGATTACTATGAGGTTTTATAGTTTCTAGTTTCCATAAACTCATATCATCTGCTAAAACACCGGAATGCACGCACGTTTTGGGAATTTCTAGCCGGTCACAAAAATGACTGAAGTGCAGGATCTTACCAGTCTTGGAAGAGTACTTTGCATTCTGAAAGTGTAATAAGCATGCCTTACAGTGACTGATTTTCTACTAATTGAGTGCGATATGGATGGTTTGTGTATCATCGCACAGTAAGACATTATCATCCTCGGGCTGAAAATAAAAAAAACACTCCAAGTGACAGATTCACAACACCATCACTTTCCTTTCTCAGAGCTGTTTCCAGAATGTCATTGGAGCTGAAGTTGAAAGATGATGAAATTTCGCAAGGCTGTCTAACGCCAGTAGTGAAGCGGGACAATGGAGGGATGGTTTTAGTGTGTACGGATGTTCAAAATCTTAATCTTTTCAAGCATATCATTCACCAACATTAAGTCTTGCTTGATGTATTGAAGGCGGTTCTGTTGTTGAAACGCAACAATTTTTTCACCTACAGAGGTTCGTGGGTGTTCAACCAATTGGCAAAGGGTAAACAACCAAAATCACCTCACTCTTTACGAACCACCTTTTTATGAGTTCTAGATAATTTGTAAGGTTTGAAGAATCCGGGCATTTAGATGTGATTGGAAAAACATTGACTAAGATAAACCATTACTTTTCTTTCGTTTAGTTAGTACCATCTAACTCCATTATGTTCTGTTTATGATCATCTTCATATGTTCTCAGTGTTTACCTCATTGCTTATCATTTTGTAGAGTTTAAATTTGATGGAATGGGTTTTGAACCTTCAAACCAGTAATTGGAAGTTAGATGCTTTAACCGATGAGCTACTTTTCTTGCCGATGCCTTAATTTTGAACTTATTACAGTTTGTTTCGTTTTAGGAAAACCAGAATACTCTCTATTTCTATCTGCTTTATTTTGTTCTAATTATGTATTCTACACCCCCATCTATTATTTTCTCGGTGACATACCTGTCTAAATTATTTTTCACTTACATTATTCTTTAAAACTGATTTTTACGACCAAAGTTTCATTGATGTCCTAGCGTCTAATTCCTCCTTTGAAATGTCGGACTTTTCTGTTCCATTCAATAACTTGTTGTTATGTAACTTAATTTCAGGGTATTTTAGATCCTTCACACCCTGGGCACATCGACGTAGTCGCAAATTTCAAAGGTGCTGATCTTCTCGGATTAAAAGTCATGGCCCCGTTATCCTCTTATGAATCTGGAGTTTTCGTTTTACCTATGATGTCGATTCGATCTTCTAAGGGTACCGGAGTTGTGACTAGTGTTCCTAGCGATTCTCCAGATGACTGGGTCGCTTTGCAAGACTTAATTAAAAAGCCTGTAAGATTAACTTCATATTGTTTTACTTTCATTCGTTTTTGTTTTGTGATATATGTTATAATTCCCCTTATTACAACTCAGCTACTTCTATCACGTAGTATTCTTGGACACTAATTCACTCAACAAGTCCCCGAATCAGAAAGCAGTTGAACGGGAACGAAATTATATTCCAAATAACAAGAGTAGATGGAAGTACGAAGCAAAACATGGAAAACGTGAGCTTATTTATAGTTTTTACATAGGAAGATTCTCGAGTATTCTCCAAGTATTCACTATCGCTGATTGGTGAAGAAATAGCCAGTCAGTGTGTCCCAGCACAATCCTGCACAAAACATGCTTTAATCCAATCTCGGCTACTTTTACATATCATGGAACTCAAATTTTCATTCAAATATATTGATGTATGTAACAATGTATAATTTACTCTGAAAAGGTGACCTACATTAGGCCATAAAACGTCAAATATACAATTTCCTACTCGTTGAGATATCACGGAAATATTTTTACTATTAAATTAATTTCATATTATTTAAGAATGCAGCTCTCTTTATGCTGTTAATTAATTTGGTAATTGTTTTGAAAAATAAAAATATTTTTGAATTATATTGCGGCCCATGCGATCGAGGTGTAATCAGTGGAGAGCAGCTATATGACCTAGTCTAAATGTTGATTGCTTTACCCGAAATGTTTACATAGTACCAGCGACCTTCTACTGACCAATAATACGATAATGTGAAACAAAAACCGAGAACAATATTTCAAGACTATTGGTCCATAATAGAATACAACACAGCAAGTTGATAACGTCTAATTATAAATTCAGATTTATAACTGATCCGTACAATAATATAGAGTAAAATTTTGGTCACACACTAGCAAAATTTAGAAAATACGATGTAAACATAACTACTGCGTAATTATTTATTTATTTATTTATTTATTTGAACACATAAATATTGGTACAAGGGGGGCACCAAATATATATGCGCCACACAAAACAATGATAATTTGAAGAGGAGAAAAGAGAAAAAAAAAGTAATGAACGTGGGGAATTATAAAAAAATAGGGTGAGAGACAGAACAATGGTGGGGGAAACGGAAAGGTACAGTCAGAAGAGATCTTTCAGTTAAGGAAGATACAACCACTTTTTATGAAGAAAGTAAGAGGTTACAGCACGATCGCCACTGGCTTCTATTCTGAGCCATATCTGATAACGTCTCTAGCCACTGCGTTACACCGTCTCTCGGACTTCAACCAGGGAGTCTTGAAGGACCAACAGAAGCCAGCCCTTTGCAGCTTTCTTTCATACCACGACACCATGTCATATACTGACCACCTCTCCGCTTTTTCCAACCAGTCCCAGAGTCGGCAAATAATGCACGACGTGGAATTCTCTTGGACGACATTCGTAAAACATATCCAAGCCACCGAAGTCGGTGTTTCAAGATGGTGACACCAATTTCATTATCGTCTCTGTGACCGAACACTCGATGCCGAACCTCTGCATTACTGACATGGTGTTGCCACTGGATGCCAGCAATCCTTCGGAGACAACGATGATCGAACACAGAGAGTCGTCTAACATCCTCAACTCGGAGAGGCCAGGTTTCACAAGCATAGAGCAAAGCTGCTCTCACCGTCGCGTTGTAGATCCGACCTTTTACAGCCAGACTAACATCACGAAGGCGCCAAAGATGGCCCAGATTGGCATAAGCCGCTCTGGCTTTCACTATACGTGCATTGATCTCATCAGTCACACCACCATTAGCACTTATGCAGCTACCTAGATACACGAACTTCTCGACTACTTCTATCTGCTCACCATCCAGAGTGAGTACAGGATTAGAAACCTGCCAGTCTTGTAGAAGAACTTTGCACTTCGAAGGTGCAAAGCACATACCATACCTACGGACACTGATTGCCAACTGATTAAGTGCGGATTGCATGGCTTTGGCATTCTCGCACAGTAAGACAATATCATCCGCATACTCAAGGTCGAGAAGTCTTTCTCCAGGCAACAGATCCACACCACCATTACTTACATCCGTCAGAGCTGTTTCCAGAATGTCATCGATGGCAAAGTTGAAGAGGAATGGTGATATTGGGCAACCCTGCCTAACCCACTGCTCGAATGGAATAGTGGAGAAAGGTGATTGTATGCCCTCACTCTACCTGAGGTGTTTGTGTATAGGGCATTTATGATGTTAATAAACTTCTCAGGCACACCCTTCTTCAATAGACAATCTCAGAGAACAGTTCTGTCCAACGAATCGAAGGCAGCCCTGATATCAAGAAACACTACGATTGTTGGCCTTTGATAAGTATGGCGGTGTTCTAACACTTGGCGGAGGGTGAAGATATGACCAATACATCCTCGACCAGAACGAAACCCAGCCTGCTCCTCGCGAGTCAATCTTTCTCGGGTTCTGAACAACCTACGAAGTATGACGGAAGCCAATAGCTTGGACGCAATCGGAAGTAGACTTATCCCCCGATAGTTGTTACAGGAACAACGTGAACCCTTTTTAAAGATAGGGACAACTATCGACTCATTCCATGACGTTGGTACACTCTCTAGTTCCCAGATCTTTGTAAACAACGTCGTCAGTCCCTTAGTCAAAAAGTCACCACCATCTTTAAAAAGAGCCGGAGGTAAGTCGTCTGGGTCCGGTGATTTGTAACGTTTCAAGAGTTGGAGTTCCTTGCGGACTTCCGCCTCATTTGGTGGATCAGTAGTCACCGGCCATGGAGGGCAGGACAGTCTGACCGATGTTGCCGTAGCAGCAGGCCAGTTGAACTGCCCTTCAAAGAATTCTGCCCATCGTCCAAGACGTCGATGGATGTTAGTGATTGGCGTTCCGTCATCCTCGCAGATTGTTGCGCTCACACCAAACTTCTTGCTGCCAGTGGCTCGGATGAGTTGGAAGAGCTTCCGGTAATTACCAGATGCAGCTGCTGCTTCCAACTCACTGGCACGCTCCGACCACCAGGCTTCACGGTCCTTACGCAAGCTTTGCCCGATTTCATTACGTAACACCCTTCGTCTGTGGTCAAACTCACGGTCACCCGGAGTAGACCGACGGGCTTCAATCAGTTGTAAGGAACCAGAAGAAACCCAGTGCTTGTAAGCGGGACGTTTCGCGAACCCACAACAGACTGTAACCGCCATTTTCATGGCGTCATGCAATTGCAACCAATGCTCATCTATACTTTTCGGTGGAATGGTAGCTAGCCTAGAAGCTAGCTCGGTTCGGTACTTACTAGCAACAGAAGTTGCAGCCAGCTTGCTAACATCAATCCTTTGGTGGCGGTCACTTCTTTGTCCACTGAAAAGTAAGGTAAGATTGGCGCAGACCAGAGCATGATCAGATTCCAGATAGGTACTCCAAAAGGAGCGGCAGTCTTGTACACAACCGCGCCAGCGGTAGCTGATCGCGATATGATCAATCTGAGTCCAGGCTTGAGATGCAGAAGGGGGACGCCAGGTGGCACATCGGCGATGACTGTGCCGAAAGTTAGTGCTAGCCAGAAACAGGTTGTGGTCTGTGCATAGTTGCAGTAGACGTTCCCCGTTATCTGTCCTGCGACCAACAAGTCCCCATCGGCCACCTAAACGACTCTCTTCTGTGCCTAGACGCCCGACCTGAGCATTCAAGTCTCCAGCTAGTACTACAATATCTGTCGAACGCACTTTCTGGAGAAGAACAGTTAGCTGATGGTAGAACTCGTCCTTGATTGCATCCGGGCTGTAATCTGTCGGGGCATAGGCGGAGATGACGAAAAGACATCGTTTCTCACGCCGATTTCTTCTCACTTTGATGGAACTTTCTAATCTAACAGCACATAACCGACTGTTAATGGGAATCCAGTCGACTAGTGCTGCCTCAGCTCTTGCGCTTAGTGCGACACCAACGCCAGCAAGACCAGACGAAGATGCCACAGGGTCCCCGGATAAACGCACATAAAACAAGCTTTTTGAAGTGACAGATGGAGAGCGAACTTGTAGTATTTCACCAGAGTCTTGAATACGGGTCTCGGATAGACAACACACATCAATATTAAGACTTTCCAAAGACATAGCCAGCCCTATCTGTTGTCCGACCTGCATAAGTGTGCGAACGTTGAAGGCAGCCAGTTTGAATGGTGCACGTGGTTTCAGAAAAACTGCTTCAGTACTCATATTCGGTAGTAACATACAATTTTCAACCAGGCAGTGACTCGAGAACGTTTAGATAAAGCTGAATTTTCACCATAGGCGAGCTGCTGTCTGAGTCGAAACGGATACAAAAAGTAGAAATAGGAGATAGTGAATAAATGACGTAGTAAATAATAATAATAATAATAATAATAATAATAATAATAATAATAATAATAATAATAATAATAATAATAATGATACCAGTCATTTCAATGTTAGTCGGAGAGAAACGAATATTTTCTATAAGCAGATAGTTCATCATAGTTTTAGTGTGTGGGCTGAGATACTACCCGGGTGCCCAGACCGAAGCAGGTGGTTTTCTTAGGGGGCCACACCCCGAGCCTTTGACCTAAAGGTCTAGTCCACAAGGCAGTGGAGCATCGTGAGGAGACGCAGTCCCATGGAAGCCGGTGACCAAAAGTTGGTTCATACGCCATTTGTTCCCGCAGGATACTGGAGCCCATGTGCACCATAGAATTGGGATCCGGTTATAGCGCCGGACGTTCGCTTTTCGTCCTCTCATTTTCGTAATCACACCCCCGCCACGAGAAGGCAGTGAGTAGGACTTCCCTGGCAGAGGCTGTATACGCGTGGCCGTGTGAGAGTATTTCGAGAGGGAGGGCGAACCCTCCCCGCTCTCGGCCATACCACGGCATTTGGGGGCACTGCGTATTACATTAAGAGTAACTTAAGAAAGGTATAGCACATAATAACAACTTATACATAGGGGAAAAGTTTACAGATGAAGGCATATGAAGATATAATAATTCAAGTATCTGGTAGCCATACAGCAGAAATTTGAACAATAACATAAGGTAGAACAGTTCCTAGAGTTCAGCTCTGTTTAATATCTACCCCATTATATCAATAACTTATGAATAACATATCATTACTGTGTGTTGTCATTACTTAAGTTGCTACAAGCAGGTTAAACTACTCGATGTTCAATGAGATACAGGTTTGAATCCCACTGAAAGTCTTAGGAGAAATATGACCTAATCCAAGCTAATGAGCTCTTACTTGGTCAACGAATTATATTAATTAATTGTTATATACATTGCCATGGCTTTTTATTGAGGTTGTGTCACAAGTCGAGTAAAAAGACTATACGTGAGTTGAATTGCTTTCAACGGTGTTCGTCATTAGCCTGGAGATTTTGGAAATCAACTTGATTAGTCATCATTTATTCTGTAATTTAATGCTGATAAGCAGTTCTTTGTTTTCTCAACTTTGACTGAATTATGGTTTTCAGGTTAACTCACTTTCTCGTAACTCACAGAAACAGGTGAAAGTATACTGTTCAGTCCCCTTTGAAATATTACTTCCTAAACGTATTTTTTTGTGTTAATGAGTAACTGACAATCCAACCTACCATACACTTAACTGCATAAGCTTTATGCTTGCAGCAACTAAAATATTTGCTTGTTTATTTATATAAGATGACTTTGCTGTACATTTCGGTTGTAGCAACATACGTAATCAATGGACGTGGTAATCAATTACTGCGGTTCTTTTTTCATAATCACAGTTGTCAAACTTGATTCTGGGTCACTAATCCAAAAATTATATAACTACTTACCTCGCCGTATTTTCTTTCTGATATGGGTCTATTAAAATATTGATAGAATTTTGCGTCTAGGTGTTGAGGGTAGTTTCACGATTTTCTGTGGTTTGCGTTAGCACTTTTCTTCAGTAAATTTTTACAAGCAAACTAATTTGTACAACAAAAATTTCCGGTTTTGGTGAAACATTTGTCGGCGTTATTTTTCTGGTAGAATTAACAGTAAGAACAATCCATTACCTCACCACTTTATTATGTTAATTGTGGATTTCTAATAAATTGAGTCATATTGTTCTTGTTCAATTGTTTTCATTTTTAATTCACAGGCATTCCGGACGAAGTACAATCTTCTTGATTCAATGGTCATACCATTCGAACCGGTTTGTAATTTATACGAAAACAATAACAATTATAATATGATTTCAATTTTCAGATACCTATAATTGAGACACCAGGTTTAGGTAGCTTACCAGCTGTCACAATAGTAGATCAGTTAAAGATTCAAAGTCAAAATGATCGAGATAAATTACAAGAGGCTAAAGAAAAAGTTTATCGTGTTGGCTTTTACGATGGGGTAGGCTATTCTCATTCAAATATACATATTCTTGTTCCTTGAATATAAAACATATTAGATTATGTTGGTTGAAAAATATAAAGGTTTAAAAGTGAATTCAGTGAAAAAACTTATTCAAGACCAATTAGTTGAAACGGTGAGTGGGAAAAAATTTCTTTTTAGATTTATTAGTTAAATTTGTGTGGTGAACTAATTATATCCTTGTTATTATCAATTAAAATTTCTAGTTTTTTTTCTAATTTATTTTAGTCATAAATTTAAATTTCTACTACTGAATTCCATTAGTAATAATTTAACAACCGAATATCCATAATTATTTTTAAAAACATAAACTACAACTTTCACAACATTCCACAACATTTAATTGCTTTTGTACATTTCTAAACTTTGGGACTTTACGATTTTTTTCATCAGGAAAATATTAAATGTGACTAATAAAATAATAATATACTTATTATATCCTAACGAGCAAGATTTTTCATTTCTGACTTAATGTAAGTCATTTCTTCAGATCACATATATAAACAACCGAATTTACTTATGAGGAGTGATTTATATTAAGTTATGTGATATCAGAAATCCAAATTTATAGTAATTTGAGTTGTCACTAATATGTTATTTTATTATTAATTTTCTACCTAATGCTCAATTTGTTTAAAATTACAAAGTCAACCTAAATATGACTTTTAAATCCTACATAGTGCATTCATTGTGCGTTTTACAGCCATAGTGTTTTACTCTAAATATCACACGTGCTGATATTTTGTTATCCACTTTTTCACATAGAAAACTGCATACATTATGTATATAGCTGTAACTAAACTAGAATACTGAGTTGTTAACCTGTTGTACTAATTTCTATCTTAGTTACTATATATGGAGTAAAATAAAAAACGGTATCGTGAATTGACTTGCCATTTACTGTGATTACTGAGTTTGGTAGTTCATGTTTAGTTATATAATTTCATTTATTGGAAGTGTCATATTGTCCGGGATAGACAGCTTAATCGACTAAATCATTCGAGATCCCTCGGCTCAACTTCAGATTTCCCTCATCTCATAATTGTGTGTAGAATAACCAATGATATGGTTTTCAGTGTGCTTCATTAATTGTATACCAACGTTGTGCACTCAAAAATTCTAAGTAAAAATTCCCGAGTAAGGATAAAGTGTACAAGTAAGGCGATAGAATGCAAACGTGATAAACCCGGTTATCCCAGGTAGCTTAATTTGTATTATACATTTCTTTAAAATATATCATTTTAATAACTTGCTTTACATATACATTTCTTGAACTGTTACTTACGATTAAACCTAAGAGTCCGAAGAGTTGTTACTACCTCATTTAAACAGAACTCCCACACTTGAAATTATTCTAAACAAGTATTCACTTCGGATAAAAGATTGAATTATTTAGATTTAATAGCATATCTGTCAAATTGTTTGCCATAAATATCGTAATATAAGTTATGTCAATTATACAGCGTTGTGCTTTTTTGCTTATAAATCCATTTACATTAGAATGAAGCTATAATTTATTACGAGCCGGAAAATCTGGTCGTTACACGTGGTGGTGATGAAGCAGTGGTTGCTTTGTGTGATCAATGGTATCTAGATTATGGCTCAGAGGAATGGAAAACAGAAGTCCGTAAAGCAGTAGCTAACTTGTCAGCAACCGATGAGGTAATATTGTATTATCGTTATAATTATTTCTAATGATATATTCTCATAAGATTAGTATTACGACGAGTTGACTTTTTGTAAATTTAATGTTCTTGTACATAAAGATGGTGCGTTGTTTCTCACCTTTTTGACACAGAAAGATTAACTTGGCATAATTAAATTATTTGAGAACTATGCACTGTATGCTGTTGTATCATCATCGGAGGTTTCACAATAGTGTGTCAATATGAAATCCACTATGATGATATCTGAAATTAACACACATCGTTCAATTGGGCCATCTTCTGGTCTACTTAGTCGTATATCTAAGAAGGGAAGCTGGTCGTTCTTCTTAACTAGTATGTATGATCAGATTGTTTGAAATGTATTGCGCTAATGTATCACCTAGTTCTGACAATCTTCATCTTATTACACTATCGAAATTATATCTGTGTTTACTCTTGTAATAGTGTGTGTGTATCGTAGGCCAAGCCATGACGGCATGGCAATCCGTTTTCAATGTAAATGCTACAGGAGCAATTGATGGGATTTCCGGAGACCCTGTCGCGTCAACAGCCGTAAACGTGTCGACTGACGTAACGGCTTCAGCAACAGGTTGACTCAGGTGACGCTTCAATAATTAGCATGCAGCGGGTGTCAGTTTATTTTCGAGACAACATATTTGAGGCTCCCGAACAATTATTTTCTTGTTGCGACCTTCCGATATGTATTTTTGAACTCGTGCTTCGATCCAATATCTCAGCACGGTGTTTTTCTTGTCAGTTTGTGCAGCTTCAAAATTCTATGTATTGTCTCAATAAAGTTGGTATTATTTTGTTCAAGAAGTGTCACAACCGATCGTAACATATTGGACCTTTTACCTTTCCTAGGCAACGAGTGATCTCGTATATATCGGTAAAAAGTCCCATCTGATGCTTCAGTAACTGAAAGGTAGCTTTGGAAACTACAAAAGACTGTAGTGTCTAAATATTTTTACTTACCTGTCCACGTTTCGAGGGAACATCGGACGGAAGAATAAATATAAAGGTTCAAATCGCAGCCTCTACTATTACAATTTTAGGTTAATCTCATTCATTTGATAATTTAACCTCTTTATGACATTGCGAATTCGGTGTACACAACATAAAGTGTGGTACGAGTTCGGATACATTTCTGTTATGGCAACAACTGTCGCCGTTAAGTCATCCGTGACAATACCAGCCAACTCTCAGTTGTTAGTTGAGCACCTGAAGAATGACAGAAATCATGACAGCAGAGCAGAAGTTTCACAACTTTAAGGTATATATAAACAGGTATTTCCATTACATTCATATCAAACCCAGCAGTTGGATATAAAAATAAATTTTCGTTGTTGGTTATTTTCGTTTATAATTTTGAAGAAAGTTGATCAGTCTAAAAATATTCAAATTTTATATCAATTTTCAGTAATAACGAACCAATTATTATCATTTTAAACATAATCATTTAATTGGACGAAATGTGGCAAAATAAAGTTTTGGGGAAAAAAATACAAAAATAACCGTGCGATCAATGATATTACCAGTTCTAGGAGTATTTATGTGTATATAATAAAATTAAAAAGATACTGATTTATTTTAAGCTATCAATAAGTTTACGAATAGAAATGTGTATTACTTTTCCATACATTAATTATAGTGACCTTGGTTTAGCCTCAAAACCCAAAATTATTTCTGATAGTAGTTTAGAAAATACGTTATATTTGGTAAAACGTCTATATGGTATTGGCATCTGTGTGTAATTAGTGAATTCATTTATCTGTTACTCATTGGTAATACACATTGTTCCTTTGTTTTCATTGTGAATTTGTATGGAGTACTTTATAATTCTCATAGTTTTTAATTTCATTCTAATTAGTTTAGTTCTAGTTCACTTGACTGTGCAAAAAGTTTAAATACATTGGAAACACAACAAATCGTTTAATATTTATTGTTTAAAATGATTACATTATATATTCTATTCAGTTGTATTTTAGTTTAGGGAGACTATATCAACATATATTTAAGATTTCGCCTCATACTTTTAGGCCTATATCACTCACGAAAGACTTATCAAAAACAAAAAGTAAGGTACTTTTTCCAGTGTGTAAAATTCGATCTACACTGACAAATAGATATTTTTGTATATGTATATCTACGAATTCAGCTGCTCCTGCGGAGAAAGCTATATTGGGCGCACAACCAGGCAACTGAACCAAAGAGTTAGTGAACACCTCCCATCGTGGTTAGGAAAAGGTTACGTAAAGACAATACGCAGCTCAGTTCTTTCACACTTAATCGATAGTGGTCATGTAGTGGACAGAAATAAGTCATTTAAAGTTATTTATCGTATTCCCACTAATTTTCCCTATGGTGTTCGATCTCGTCTCTTACACATAGCAGAAGCTATAGGAATTCGAGCCAACAAGCCGAGTCTTTGTGTTCAGAAGAAATTTGTAACACCCTTATCTCTCCCTTGGCCTTAACAAATGAATTTATTTATTATTTATTTTCAAACCTTCTCTTTGTTTTATCAATTCTTCTTCACCCCCTCCTACTATTTTATTTTTATTTTTATTTTTTCACGGTTCAATTATCTGAACACTTCTCATTACGTCATCTTATAATAATTTTATAAATGTTATCTTACTATCTATATTTTTCTAATCATTGACCTATTTCCGATTATGTAACGTTGATTTGAGCCTTTATTATTCTTAGAAAAACTAATACACCTGTCATCACACTATCTATTTGTACTTTTCACATATTATGTAATCGTTTTATTCATCGTTATCATTGATTTATAAACTACCTTGATTGGTTTAATAATTTCGTATATGCATATAAATATTACTGTATATTAGAGTAAAGCCTGATGAGGATCTAATCGAAAACAATATTGTTCGCTTATATATGTTGTTTTGTATATTTGTTCGTTTTAATTGTAAATGTATTCACTCGCAGTCTTATTGGTTAATTACAAACGTGTGAACGTGTTATGTTTTGAAGTTTTTAACTCGATTTTATGTTGGATTCATTCTTATTCTTTTCTAATAGTGACATGCGGTTTCACTACTTTTTTATTTAGGTTAGACGCGGTCTTTATTCAACCGTTGACTGGTTACATGAACATGCTTGCTCTCGTACATATGGTTTGGGTACTCGTTTACCATGGGATGATAAATGGCTTATTGAATCTTTATCTGACTCTACAATATATATGGCATATTATACAATAGCTCATTTGTTGCAGGGCGGTTCATTAGATGGTAGAAAACCTGGTCCTCTTAAAATTTGGTCAGTTGAATATTTACTGCGCTTTGTTTGTGTTTATTCATTGTTATTTCTCCCCAGAAATAATTTTAACATTAGTTTAGGTCATATTTTGTTGGTGTTCCTATCTTTTTAATCTTTTGCTGGTTGGACTAACATGTACACCCTGGTTTTGTTTACTTGATTACCACACCTATTTCAGTTCTTCTGTTCTTGGTTATTTTAGAATGAGTTGAATGTAGCAAATGTTTTTGTTGAGATTATAGAACACAGGACAAAAATACATAATTTTCGGGCGATAGTGCAAAATAACTATTTGGTAATTCTGTGTTAGATGTGTAACAGTCCGTTGGTTTAAGCAAAATAATTTAGCTTCGAAAATATGTAGCTACATTCTTTAAAATCTGAATTTCTATATAAGCGGCGAAAATTCAACATGGTTATTGCATTGTCTAATATATTTATTAATATTGTAAGTTAAATGATAATAAAGAAAGCTACAGACAATCTAAGATACTGCTTAACTCAAACAACTTTGTAAAATATGCTGAAATTCGCTGTTAAACTTGTAATATATAAAGACAAAATAAAGTAATATTTAATAATTTCACTGGTTGAAATCATGAATCCATTGAAGCTAGACCACCATGGAAAACCTGGAAGCACTGGACGGCTGTTTCGTCCTAGTATGGGGCTCCTCAGCAGTGCGCATCCACGATCCCGCTCCTCGCGAGATTCGAACCCAGGACCTATCAGACTCGCGCCAGGCGCTTAACCAACTAGACCACTGAGCCGGCATCCAACGGTGTTAATGTCTAACTTCAACCAATCCACGAAGTTGCGCCACCGTGCACCATTGTCTTCAGTGAGCTGATATCTCACAACAGACCTGGTTGAACTCCACTGGTAACGGCTTCTCACTAGAACTTCAGGAGTATCTCTTGAAGTCAGTCACTAGTGAGCAGATGATTATTATTATCAGAAGGAATTGTGTGGAGATTTTAGAAATTTCACTGGTTGAAATCATGAATCCATTGAAGCTAGACCACCACCATGGAAAACCTGGAAGCACTGGACGGCTGTTTCGTCCTAGTATGGGACTCCTCAGCAGTGCGCATCCACGATCCCGCTCCTCGCGAGATTCGAACCCAGGACCTATCAGTCTCGCGCCAGGCGCTTAACCAACTAGACCACTGAGCCGGCATCCAACGGTGTTAATGTCTAACTTCAACCAATCCACGAAGTTGCGCATTCTTATGTAACATTAGTTTCCGTGATGCATTCAATGAAACTAATTTCAACTCATGTACCATTTATGAATTCATCTATTCAACTTTAAGCTATGTTGCATAATAGCTAGATATTTGGTTGTTAAAACTGAAGTAAGTGAAATGTGTTTCAAACCCAGTGTACCCAAAGTTTAAAGTCGATTATTTCAAACAGTAACAAAGTATTCGGCAGGATAAAGTCATTTCAAATTTTCAGCAGAATTTCTTGTTTCTGTTTTCATAGCCCAACCTTTTGTTGATATATATGTATACATGCTTACTTTACATTCCTCTAAATATGATTTGCATCTTTTTGTTAAGGCCAGAACACATGACACCGGAGGTGTGGGACTACATATTTTTAGGAATAGGAAATCCAGACGATTTAGTCGGAATGAAAAGTCATTCTTCTCTGAGTGTACCAATTTTGAAGAAACTTCGTCAAGAATTTCTTTTCTGGTATCCAGTTGATTTAAGAGTTAGTGGAAAGGATCTTATCTCCAATCATTTAACCTACTACTTATACAATCACACTGCTATATGGCCAAATGAACCGAATTTATGGCCTCGAAGTATACGTGCCAATGGCCATTTGTTATTGAACTCTAATAAGGTAATTGACTTTTTATAATTCCTAGTTTTCAAGGTTACCAAATTTAGGCATACTGTCATTAGTTCAAGGTTTAACAATTATTTAATATTTGCGTATATATTAATCACATTAGTGAAATTTGATAACAAGAAAAGTACCATTAAAATAGTATGAGATGTTAGAGTAGATAAATTCTGTCACACATCAATAGCGTACAGATCTTATTTTTTTGTTTATTCGACTCTTTACAATTTGTCACTTAGTAGTTAAAGCTAAATCACTCATTTTAACTGATACATGTTCATTGGATTCGGTTTGTTCATATATTCGTGTAAAACATTTGGAGAATCGCCTATTTTATTTTTGATTATGTATATATATAACATCGACCACTGATCTTAATTTTCTTTCATACAGATGTCAAAATCAACTGGTAATTTTCTCACTTTAGCAGATGCTGTGGAAAAGTACTCAGCTGATGGTAAGTTATTTGGATTGCTGTTGTTGTTGTTGTTAATAAAAATAAGTTGATTCAGTTGTGAGATGTGGTATTTTAATTATAATTCTTATGTTTTTATCAAATAATTATCGAGTGTTTTTAATGTCGAATTCTTTGAGATGAAAAGCTTTGTTATCGTTCTAAACAACGTAATCAGCGTCTACTTAAGTAATAGTGATGAATTTGATTCCTTCAAGGGTATTAAGTAAATTCATTCTCATAACCTCGTTTCAAGCTGGTTGTCTTCACAGACTGTATTATTCTCATGTGTCGTTGTTTTTCTATTGAGTATTTTGTTTAGTTGACTTAAAAGTTATGTTATATTATAAAATTTATTGTCAGTCAATGGTCGCTTATTGTATTCGTAGTTCCCTTTTTCTTTTAAGAAAATGTACCCCACAATATTTATAATTCAATGAATCCTGAAGGCAAACAGTTGTTTTCGCTTAATTAAATTACCGACAAAGGATTTTGGAAAAAAACATAAGTTCTTTATCAACGGTAGTGTATCAACATATCTATAACACTTCTATTGTAAGAGACAATATTCAGTAATGTTATCGTAAATTGAAAACGATACTTTGTTGAATAGTTAAATACTCATGTACCTCCAGTGTTCCTTATAAAATAACAAATTGTACAAAAACACAAAAATCTATTTTTTTTCCTGCTTCGGTTTGGGCACCCGAGCAGTATCATAGACCTCACACATATCAAATGACATTTGTGTGGCGCATATGTATTTGGTGCCTCGTTGTACCAATATCTGTGTTGAAGTAAATAAATACAAAAATTTATTTAGTTTTTACAAAATCTATTTACTGTTTGAATTGTACTTATTTTTTCTCTCTTCCCAATAAGGTGTTCGTCTTGCATTGGCTGATGCTGGTGATTCATTAGATGATGCTAATATAAAAGAAGAAATGGCTGAAGCTGGACTTTTACGTTTGTATAGTCTTTTGGATTGGTTCAATATGACATTGGAAAATTTAAATGATTCAACTTTACAACAAAAATCTGATTATCGATCAGGTGCTTATACAATGCATGCAGATTTTGTTTTTGAAAAGTACGCTTTATTTAGTTTTTAATGAATCATGAATTTATTTTTAAATCATTATAGTAGTTTTCATGTTCTTTTTTTTGAATTATTGTTCATTTTTCTATCTTCAATTCTTAATAGCTCAATAGTTAGTATTATTTTACGATTATTCGAAATAGATTAAATGAATAACATTGACTTTTTATTACTCATGATTGGTTATATCTTTAACATACTTAAGTTATACAGTTTTACACTTATCATTTATAGTGACTAACTGACGTTGTTTAAGTGAACGGTACAATTGTCATTGAGTTTCCTCTTTATTTACTCCTGAGTAAAATATATATATTTTTTTAAATATTTTATTCATAGTGAAATGAATAATACGATTGAATTGGCCGATAAAGCATACGCTTCACAAGAATATAGAGAAGTACTTAAAATTGTCTTTTATGAACTTCAGGTAATTAAAGATACTTTTTATTAAAAATAACTTTTGTTTCTAATCACCACAGTATAACCTTGGGTGAAATTTAGTATCTCAAGTAAAATGTCAGTATAAATTATTATGAGGTTTATATCTATTATGTTAACAAGATATAAATGTATCGTAAATCCTTACCATAGCAGCTTATACAAATTTTTTGTTTTAAATGAACAGTTCTTTAATCTTACACCAATTTGATTTCAGAATGCAATCTGTTCGCTTTCTAGTTACAAGTTTAATACTTTCTAATCTATATATGATTAGTTCAAATACTATGGATATCTAATCTATTGAATTTTTATTACTTGTATTCCAATTTAATAATATAAGGTATAAGGTCAACTTACTCGGTTATCAAATCTATTGTTAATGTCAGCCAACTTGTCAAAAATCTAAAGTGTATACGATAGATACTTATCTTAATTAGCTATTTGTCTTTTGAACAGTGGCTGATTGCTATTAAGTACAATATTTAGTCATCTTCCTACTCGCTTAGGCAAAGAATATCCTCTTGAACATCATCTTATGTTTATTTATTTATTTATTTATTTATTTATTTATTTATTTGAACACATAAATATTGGTACAAGGGAGGCACCAAATATATATGCGCCACACAAAACAATGATAATTTGAAGAGGAGAAAAGAGAAAAAAAAAGTAATGAACGTGGGGAATTATAAAAAAAAAGGGAGAGAGACAGAACAATGGTGGGGGAAACGGAAAGGTACAGTCAGAAGAGATCTTTCAGTTAAGGAAGATACAACCACTTTTTATGAAGAAAGTAAAAGAAGGTTACAGCAGGATCGCCACTGGCTTCTATTCTGAGCCATATCTAATAACGTCTCTAGCCACTGCGTTACACCGTCTTTCGGACCCCAACCAGGGAGTCGTGAAGGACCAACAGAAGCTAGCCCTTTGCAGCTTTCTTTCATACCACGACACCATGTCATATACTGACCACCTCTCCGCTTTTTCCAACCAGTCCCAGAGTCGGCAAATAATGCACGACGTGGAATTCTCTGGGACGACATTCGTAGAACATGTCCAAGCCACCGAAGTCGGTGTTTCAAGATGGTGACACCAATTTCATTATCGTCTCTGTGACCGAACACTCGATGCCGAACCTCTGCATTACTGACATGGTGTTGCCACTGGATGCCAGCAATCCATCATCTTATGTGGTAGTAATCAGAACTCCAAGCGCTTACGTCTTGTCAATATATGAAATTTTACTCTCTTTCCTTTAACCATCATATTACTTTTTGATTGATTTAACAGTATCATTTTATTCTCGGATATTTATACAGGCACATCGTGACCGTTATCGTGAAGTTTGTCAAGGCAGTGTACATACTAATTTAATTCGACGTTATATGAATATTCAGTTACTACTACTTAGTCCAATTTGTTCACATGTTTGTGAGCATATATGGATTAATCTGTTAAGCAACAAGACATCAATCTTTTGTGAAAAGTGGCCTGAACTTAGTTGTCCAGTGGATCGAATACTTCTGTTACAAGGTAAAATCAGTTGTTGATTGTAGTTTGATTTGTTAATTCCGTTTATGTTCACTAATCGTGCTTTTAAAATGTGGTTAGTACTTTGAGAATAAGTGCGTCATTAAATAATAATTGACAAAGAAATAACTTGCTTGATATATTTCTTAAGTCAGAGTGCATATTTCACCTCCACATATTGTTAGAAGATTTAAACACGAGGATGCGAACCTAAGTTTTGTGCTAGATACCACTCTCTAACTTAAAGCCCTCTACATCTTGAGAAAAATGACATTCTTCTTTGAGACTCGAATCCGTTTGACTCAGCTGTCTAATCGGAGACGTTAACACTGACGTGTTTGGTTCACGACCGACATTCTATAGGGTTGAATTTCATTTAGTAATGACCAATTTCACGTTGTATAGTCATTAATCCTGCTCAAATTCTATCAACAAGGTTTCAATGTTGCCGTTTGTCTGACTGAGCTAACATTTGCGTACATTTTTCGAACAGAAGTTTTAAGTCCCTGTTTCCCACTGTCTTCTTCCAACAACTTAACATCAAGTATAGTGCACACAGTGTTGGGTTATTTAGCCTAATGACCACATCACAACCTAATCGATAGCATTCGTCCAGCACTAATGACTAAAAATTACACTGGGTACTGCTAATGGATCATTTGATGTTGAACTTCCATACAAAAATGTGATCCAACGTTAAGTTTGTTTGGTTACTATTTCTCAAGAATAATTAAATTATTCAGTGGATGTTTTCCTATTCATTTCTGTTTTATTTTTTTCCTAATTAGGCCGTTACATAGATGATACAGCTCATACCTTTAGATTACAACTTAAACAATACCAATCATCAAAGGCTTTCAAGAGTAGTAAATCTGTTGGATCCCATTCTGTTACTCAGTTTATTCCACCTTCGGATGCTGTTGTTTGGGTTGCTAAAGCTTATCCAGCATGGCAGGTATTTTTTAGTCCCAATTCACCATATTTTCTTAGTTTATTAAGTTGAATCATATTATACCATTCATAGCCCTCATATTTGTACATCTGCTTTTTCTTTTTTTAAACGACTGTTTCTCACTCGTGTTATATTTTTATTTCCAAATATATGTTTGAGAGTTGAGCGAAATATATATTTACTGTAATTTTTTTCTGTTTCGGTATTCATTATTACTAATTTTTTAGGCAAAAATTCTTGAAATTATGGCAGCTAATCTTTCTGACGATGGTAAAACGTTAGCAGATAATGCAACGTTAGCTCAACTTTTACGTCCTCATCTAAAGGCTATGGGTAAAATGGCAAAACGTGCTATGCCATTTGTACAGTTAGTCCGAGAACGGTTTTTAATTCACGGTAAACGAGTTCTTCAACTTCAGTTGGATGTGGATGAATGTGAAGTAATTAAAAAGAATTTATCGTATCTTATATCGACTTTAGGTTTACGACAACCTGATGGTTTAAAAGTAAGTTTATTCTGACATGTTTTATGGTAATAATCAAAATGTGCTAATAATTTTTGATTATTTTCTGTTGTTTCCCTAAACAGTTTTGAAATACATCAAATAGATTTCACTTCGACACCTTGTCTTTAATAGTTTTCGTCTAGAAATTGCCCTCGTTTTTTATATGTTGATCTCATCAATTTACGTATTTCGTATATGTTCCGGTGTATGACGTGAACCTAAATGCAGTTATATTTAATTATAGAATATTTTGATGTAATAGATTTAGCTGAACGGATTTTTGATCAGTTGACGTCTAGGGTTTTTGCTACTCATTCTCATAAATTTCATTTCAGTTGATTCAGTAATAATAAACGAAAAAGTGCATACATTTAGGTCTTTTCATTTCGAACAAAAGCTTTTAATGTATTACGTCAAACCAAATTATCAAAATTTATTATAGAACGACTATTAATAATTATATCAGTGGATCATTTCAGATCAACTGATCAAGTCACTTTCAGCCAAAAAATCGTTTCACACCTCTTACCACTTGGATATTTCATAATTTTGACTTAATAATACCGCGTTAATACATTCATAGTTGTGCAGCTTTTGCATTATTTCAAAACACGTGAAAAGAAAGTGGCTTCAAAGCTTTTATGTTTAGCCATTAAAGTGAATAAACAAAGATTGCAAACACATTAGCTATACCGTTTTTATCGTGAATGGTGTTGGCCATGTTAACAACCGAATTTAAGTAGATATTCAAAAGGGAAACAAGTGAAATGAGAAGGATATTTTTTTGCTTGGTTATGGTGAAGTTTTGTTCTCTGAGCCATGTGGTTTGCTTGTGGAGTTCTCATCGTTCTTCTGATCGACATTCCCAAAAACTTCATGTAGAAGTGAAGAGTTCGAATCTCTCCACATGGACACAACTTGTTGTGTAGACCTCGATCTTGATTTGTTATTTTTGGCGTTTAACTGTTATTGTTTACTTCTTTTGCTTGGTTATTTGTAGCTTGACTTTACAAATCAACCACTTTTCCAATTAATATATACTTATTGTGATGTCTTCATCATAAATGAGTTACTTTTTATAACCTCATGATTAAACATGTACTGTTTTACTTCCTCTGGTATTACCCAATTCTATTTTTCGTTTGAAAAATCTACTTATCGAAACCATCGTTTTCAAAATAACACTTAAAAGATTGACTAAAATTAAGAATTAAGCATGCATTATCAAAAGAATACAGGCATAGGAGATTAGGTTATCTTGCGGTTCTTTTGTTAATTACTAATAATTACTTGATATAACTATTGGCTTTGGGTTTACGACTTGAATTTAAAGCATATGATGATCCCAAACCTACTCACTAAATTCTAAAAGTGAATGATTTTTACCGAAGTAGCTTTAAAATACTAGTAAGTGATTAAAACTTTAATGATCTGATCACATTAATTCTGTCGGTATTTGATTCACAATATCTTTAAAATAAAAAACTAACTAAATCCTAACATGAAGAACGCATTATTATCTTTAATTTTTATTGGTGTATGGAATCGACGCAAATAGAACACTCTTAGAGTATTCCTTAGTTTTGAATACAATGTCAACAGTTTGCAAATTGATTTATAACAGTTTTCACCGTGTGGGTATTCACTTAACAATTTATTATTTCTCATTTTTGCGGCGTAAGTGTACAGCCGTAACTGCTGCTTGATGGATAATTTATCATATTTTTATCTATGTCATCTGTCTCATCTCTTCATAAGCCTAAAACATCCCATATTAATGAACATAAATTATTCGTAACATTCAATTACGGTGTATAAAAATGTTAACGTCGAACGTGTATACAAATTTAATTTAGTCTCTGAGTTATTATGGATTCTCATCAAAGTAAACCGAACCTTTCATCAAATTTTTCGTCAGTTTCCCTTTAAAATTTAAACTTCAACATTGTCACGGTTGTTTACCATTACTTTTTTAGACCAACTACTCATGCGATTCTAATGATAGTCGTATTGAAGAAAGTGTTTGTCCTTTAGAGCCTCTTATTTTGTTTTGTGAACCACCTACCTCAGCATCCATGACGTTTCTAAATCCGGATATTGGTTCAGGTCTCTTTACACTTAATGGTGTTACCATTTTTGACGGCGACACATATACCGATGTGGTCTCACGTGTAGTCACTCACTGTCGTTCACTTGCGTTAAACAGTAAAGGTAAACGTTTTTTTGGATTTTCTGAATTATCTAAATTCCTGACTTTTCTTAATTTGATTGAGTTATAATTTCAAAACCATCTTGTATGAGACACACGCCAAGAGTATATATTGTGTATTACTTGTATGAAGCAGTACATAGTCAAAGCTATCATGAAATAGCTGAGATTTAAAAACTTAGATATTGTGTTCTTCACGATTGATAGCCCTCGAAAATTTGTCACTTTCTCAACACACTAGTAAGGACATCAGATAAATTATCAAAAGCACATTCGTATGTTTTATACACAACTTATCTCATTATGTATGCTGCATACTAAATCATGATGCACTACATATAAAAAATCATAGCTCATACACAGCTGGGTCATTTTCATCATAAAACCAGGTAACCCATTGTTAGCTAATTAACTGCGATTCGTAAATAGTAAAAGGTATAGAAAGTTCTTGAACCAAATTAAAGCTTTGGATTCGGAGTATGTAGCAATGATACTACTTCAAACTGACTAGTAAACACTCATCAAATATACATGGTCTAATCTGCTTATGGATAGCTCCTTAAGTTTTTTCCTAACTCCTCCCCAGCATGTGCTTCTGCAGAATAATTGATCAAATAAGTAATAAGCTTTTGACGGCGTCTTAATTTTACAACCAGGACTTGTTGCTTGTCAGTCAAATGTGATCTCGTAAAAATCTTGAAACCTGTCAGTCAGTATTTCTTAGCATTGATTTAACAACCTAAACGTATCCACTTTAATCGTTTTCTCACAAAGACACCGTACAGTGGCCGATCTAGCACTTTTTTGAAAAAAAAATCAACCTTACTCTATGTAAGGCTACTATATATATATATATATATATATATATATATATATATATATATATATATATATATGTACCAAAGTATTTGTAATATTCCACGTAATTATCTCACGTATAAATCACTTCCCATCTACAATTTATTAAACAATTTATTTGAATCTTTAATACTTCCTATTCATCGTTCCGATCAGCTGTCTGTTAGCAGAGTCCTTCTAATATCTGTCCGCGTCAAACTATAGTTTGTTCTTGATTTTTAGACACCAAATAAATAAATAAATATAAATCTTTGATTTCTAATATATATAATCAACACTCCAGCGATTGCTGTAGTCGATCGGAATTTATCCAGCTGCTTAAACGAAGTTTTTTATTCTGCTAATACAACTTTCCTCTTATTTACTCCAGTCTAATCTCTAATTTGTGTTTTCCCTGTTTTGTCTTTTTTTTAAAGACTTAAAAAATATAACATTGTACCGTTTTACCGATCCTACATGCGGACATTTACGCATTCCTCCTTACCCTATGGAAGCTCTACAAATTGTCCAACCAACAGCTCGTTTTGTAGTCGATGTATCATCCACCATAACTCTGAAGATTGGTAGTGATTTTATTCCCATTGGCAAAAAACTTGTGTATACAACTGCCGTATCGTCATGATCATCTTTTGCCAAAATAAAGCTTTTTATTTTTGTGTTGTTTAGTTCATTCAGGGACTAAAAATATCTATCACTGATTCATGTTCATTATGATGTTTGTTTTGGCTTTATATACCGTTCTGTATAATAATCAATATAAGTGAGCAGGTTCGTAAATTCATTCAATGCAAATTTTGGATCTACTAACTGAATTCATAGGACTAATCAAGATTCCAAATTACGAAAGGTGAACAATTTCCAGCATATTCTTAATGGTAGTCGACTCTAGGTAAGTACCTGATCAGACCTACCAATAGGGGTCTTTTCAATTCCTTGCGAATTAATCGAACTTTGGAGTGGAAAATTGAAGACGTGGTTCTCTTGTAAAGTTGAGATACAGTTTCTTGATAATAATTTTTGGTGCTGCTGCTGCTAAATGTTAGTTAATAGTGTGATCACTTTAAAAGTAGTATGTCTCGCAAACTCAGCATTCTACCAACCTTCGTCTACCAGTGTTAGTAAGATAATCTGTCAAATCTTTCATAATTTTATAAACTGCATACCGAAGAACTGGGTTTTATGCGGTCCTGTAATATATATGAGAGTCTTAGTGTAGTAAGTTCAGTTCCCATGCTTTTTGCGTTCACCCATTGATAATATTAGGCAGAAATTCGTCCAACCACCAGGGTTCACAGTCACTAACTTTTCTCTACCTTCATTCAAATTTATAATTCTAAGTGATAATCCTGGCCAGACTATATTTCATGTTTCAGCAAATTTGACCACATGTTTACCATCTGTATTTCCACCAGCCTGTCAGGCGAGCACATTCCTGTCCAAGCGTATGAAGGGCTCATGTGGTGGCAGAGTTGTTGAAATGACAATTCCTCAATCCAACTATCCCAACCACAGGAAAATAGTTGTCTTGTGACAGGTCGTTGATCGACCAGCATGGATAACGTCGACTGGCTAACCAACATTGCTGGAAGAGACATGATTCAATTTGGACATTAATGGTTACATTATGTTAATCTGCTCTCAACATTTTTTGCTTGCTGTATTTTGGGATCTTAACAGTCAGAAAGCCGGGTGTCATTGGGACAGCTAATGAGATCATTTGGTATTGTTGCCTCAACGTAATATTACGTAATTCGGGCAGTTGCATTCTAATGAATTGTAGTGTAGGCCAGGATTTATGGCTTGCCCACATTATTGGTCAACCGACTTAACGGCATCTGGAAATTATTTGAAGCTACTTAAAAGGATGAACTGTTTAGCAGTTACTCTCCCTTCAGAAATTCACTATGTGTAGGAGACACTGTGCTAGGTTCATCTATGATTTAATGAATTCTTTACATAATCGTCACCCCAAAATTTATGCGGCTATTCGTTTCGAAATGTATTTGTTGCAACACAGTTTTCGAATACTACAAATTAACAAGAAATACGTGGAAGCACTGAGGAATACTCTTGTGTAATAGTTGCAAAACGGAAACAGGTAGAACGACGTCATTAATGTGAAATCATGCTATTCTTAGAGAGATGAGGATGGTCAGGAAATACTGAAAAAGATTACACCGAACATAGACGTACAAATTTAAAGTTGAGTTCACAGCTAATGACTTAACAAGTCGCACTATCATGAGATTCTCAAAGGTTTGGATATTTATATTATCATTACCTTTCGTACATCTATATAACTTCCTAAGTTTGTTTACCCCGATAATTCCCAAGTAACGTCAATGTTATGAACAAGCCACTTTTCGCTAACGGCTATGACGAGTAGCATTAATTCGTTCACCAATACTCCTAATTCATAGGATATATTTCCTATTCTACAAGTATTCTGGTATAAAATTCCCAGAGAGGACAACTTACCAAACAGGTCTTGGTAGTGCTCTCTCCACAGACTTGATAGTTCAAAACCCACTAAATGAAAATTTTCTCCAAGGAATCAGTCGCTTCCATAAATTTTGATAGAGCAATCAAAGAACGGAGTTGATCTGAAAAATCTGATGTATTTGCGCTATATTTCGAACAATTTGGTCACACATATACTTGTCAGGGCATTTATTTATATGAAAACTAAAGTCAATTAAATGCAATTTCAAGTAAAAAGATAAAGAAAAAAAAATTTTACGTCGCATAAAAAGAATAACAAATTGCCACACCTAAGCCATGAAATGTTTTAAGAATTACCAGGGTAAATCCAAGGTTATGACATTGTTTTTGTATACATAAATGGGTCTAAATTTGCGAACTTGAGTATTCGTCATTGACAATTTTTATACAACGTTTTAAAAGCTGTATTATTTTCAGGGTTGTGCTCCGTTCAAATTATATGTTTCGATATCATCAGTAACTTGATGAAGTGACAGTTAGGTCCCGTCATTTTGGCTTCACCTTCATTTGTATGATGAAACCAAGATAATTCAGATGTAAGGAAAACTACAGCGAATGGCCACGGATTCCTATCCTCTGCTCAATTTAGGGGCTGATTGGCTACTCTTACTGCATACAATCTCATGTACTGCCAATTAGTTAACAGACGTATTGATGTTCCGACATTAAATAATTCTGTAAGTCTTCAACACTGAAACTGTGATTATTTGTCTTACTAAACAGACCACTAGGTAGAGGCGCTCGGTCAAATATCCGCACTAGATCCCGCGCGGGAATGCTACGAAAGATTGAACTGTGTTTCAAATATATTTTCTCATCACATCATCATTGACTTCTTATTTGATTTTGGGTAATTATGTAAGAGATTATTATTTGTGGCGAGGTTGAACATAACGTATCTGTAACCTTGTTGAATTATGGTCGTTATTAGTACTGCTCTAATTATAGTCGTAATCCTAAAATTGCCAATTTATCGTGACGTAACTGCCTAATCGATAAGAGCATACGTAGAAGTCACATCATTGTATACATTTACTCATCGCATCGTATCAATCACCAATGTATGACGAAGAACACATTTTAGGTTGAAGATAGAACAATATATTTAATGTGAATAAAAGTGATAAATTTCACAAAAATGACCACACCTGCAAGGCCAAGCCATGCCACTCGATAATTTTGGATTTATTCTTCCTGCCTTCCCCATCATTTGGTTTTTCTCCACGCTGAATATCTAATTCCCCGTCTTCTAGTTGTCAGGATTGTGTGGATTGCGCCCAATCCCACAACAACCTCTTCAGCTCTGTGTTTTAAACTGTTCACTGGTTTTGTCTTCAACCTATGATCATGCAGAAACCCAACCTTCGAGTACTTGTTCTGGTTACATTAATATTAGTGAGATCAAAGCGATTAATCAATAAAAACTCATTCAAATTGTTAAAACTAAATCGCAGCTAACGGAAGATTAGGTCAAATTGAAGGCCATTAAAATATCTACGGAAATGAGGAGATACAACTTGGAAGTACTCGGAATCAGAGAAACTCTGTTCGGCCAATAAATCTGCTTTGACAGGTGCACGTAAATTTATAAACAAAGGTGGCGGTAACATGAAAGGGGTGCTTGTTAGACTTTGACTGAATTATTGAACGTGTTGTTGACGTTTTAGGAGCTTAAGCAACGATTTGATTGGTCAGTTATAGACATAAATAACAGTCGATTCAAAAATTTGTTCGGTCAGTTAAGCAAAGAATGTGGAGAATAAGTGGTTCAAATCACAGTTAGTTGGGATTGACAACCAATATTTCGTTTCATCGGCACCAAAGTCGAATATTTTATTTAAAGAACATCTGACTGCCTTCAGAAACAAACAAAATAACGAGGTACCGATTTTAGTATAAACAACCGAAATTCGCACATTTAGTACTATTTGCTTACATTACACTATTCAAAAGGAATAGAACTGAAATATTGATTTAATTAATAAAGTAACTTTGCAAATACTGACATGTTCGCCAAATTATTCCGTTTGTAGCACTTCTAGAGTTGCTGCGTGTCCCAAGACCGAATAAAGGAGGAGGGCTGGATGTGGAGTCGGCAACCACATCCCGTAGTAAACACCCTTGCTAAAAAACGCCAACTAGATTAAATAATTTAAACTCTCCCCTCCAAGTTGAAGGAAGAATTATGACACGTCATGATGAAAGCCGAGATTCTTCAGAAGTTACGAGGCCAATTACCCTTCTAATATTCGGCGAAACCATTAATATAGGTACATGGAATGTCCGAACAATGTGGGAGACCAGGAGGACCAGTCAAATAGTTACGGAAATGAGGAGATACAACTTGGAAGTACTCGGAATCAGAGAAACTCATTGGACTGAAGCTGGACAGCAAAGGATAGGTTCAGGAGAACTGCTACTGTGCTCTGGTCAAGAGGAAGCAAACACTCCACACACTTATTGGGTTGCTCTGATGTCCGAAGAAGCACGAAATGTACTTATAGAATGGGAATCTCATGCATTCAGGATCATCAAAGCATCCTTTAAAACAACGCAGAAGGTAATCACAATGATTGTTATCCAAAGTTATGCACCCACCAATTATGGAAATGACGACGATAAAGATCGGTTGTCCGAGAGGCTGCAATCAATCATAGCGAAGTGTCCAGGGAAGGACCTGACAATGCTAATGGGAGATGTAAACGTCAAAGTTTGAATGGGTAACTACGGTTATGAAGATATCATGAGACGACATAAACTAGGAGGAAAAAAGAAAGTGATGGAAGATTTGCAAATCTATGTGCATTCAACAAAATGGTTGTAGGCGGCATAATATTCCCACACAAACACACACATAAAGCTATATGTCTTTCACTGAATCACACAACGGAGGACCATGTCGATCATATTTGTATCACTAAAAAATTTGAAAGGTCTATGGAAGACGTGAGAAGCCGGGGCGGAGCTGACATAGCTTCAAATCACCACATGAATGTGGCCAAAATGAAACTGAAGTCAAAGAAGTACTGGACAACTGGAGAAACAGAAGTACAAAGGCTCAATACAGTCTTCCTTAGACATACTAACAAACTCAACGAATGAGTGACTTTTTGTGTCATGAGCAATTCTTCGAACTTCGATCCCGTAGTAAGCAAGTTTTCACTTTTTAGCGGTTAGTAGTCTGTCGCGGATGTACGGATCACAATAATTGATGAATAATGAATTACTTGATGTTGTAAATGAGTGAAGTATACAACCATTAGTATCACCCAAATAAATAGGGTCCGGATTACAGAGTTGGGTACTAATCTCAGCGAAATGAACAGTAGTTTTACAAACTGACTGGATGTGTACAATTTTTCCACACTACCGCCACAACAGACTGGTCGATTAATGCGAGCCCAACAATTGAGGATCATGATCCATATTTAAACATACAATTAGTTTTCTAACGTCCCTATTTATACCGTGCCTAACATCACAAAGACGGAATAACTATCCAACATAGCTGATTGAACGGGTCAAAAGACTTCTTGAATGTAGGATATTGTATTGGACCAGACTTTTGTATGAAAAATAACTAGTTAGGGATTCTGAAAATAAACCGGAATAATTGTTCTCAAGTGTAAAAAGATGGTCCCAGTTAAGGGATGGAATTCCACCACTTCTGATATTTAGAGGGAAGAAATTTGAAAGAGCTGAAGCTTTATTAATATATTTTTGGGACGCACTTTTCTTCAACCATGGTAAAAGACTTAATATTGATTGCAGCAATGTCGTTCCGCCGTCGGAGACTGTGTATATTGACAAGGTTTTCTCACTATTACTTTAATATGTCAACTTAGATATGTCTAAGTGGTCCTAAAAATGTTAATTTCAAGGTTATGAGAGCCCTGACGACTTGAGAACTACGAGTAATTGTGAAACCAACTCTGTCAAATGCTTCGGGTTCAGATAATCTATTTGTAAGATATTTTGTCTCTTGGATAAAGGAATGTTCAGAGTATTCCATACGAGGCGTGTGAGACCGCATTAAGAATACCGAATTCGTGTATCAGGTTATTGTCTTATTTATGAAGCAGGTTCTCCAGAAGAATTTAATGGTGAGTGATCAAAATGGTGTACGTTGTCCTTATGAAGACTGACTGAGATTCCTCAACCTAGTTCCGTTATTCTACCACAGGTTAAGGGGTGATTTCACATCGGTATACTGAGCGTATATTGAACGATGACTTTGACAATAATATGTCTTATCTTGTCCCTCTATGTGTAGCTGATCATCCAGGGGTACATTCTAAGAAAGTTTAAAAACTGAGATCAAATATTTCACATCTGGAGTTTCATCTTTTCACTTAGTAACAAATCATTGGAACTTACTACTATAACACGCAGTAACAGCACCATTTGTTGATACGTTCACGAAAAAGTTGGGTCTTCACAGTACTACGAATTGCAGGGATGAATATGGATCTCCTAACCATCTGTCCCGACTACCGACGACTTAGGTCTTCTAGTCATTGAATCCGTCATGCGAGAAAATTAATAAAAACATTCCTCATGGGTGTACCAGAACTCCATTCTCATGGAAGCTTAATAAGCTAAGCGTTTTCTGTTCTATTGCCAAGTATTTGAATAATCTTTTTGTATTTGTCTTACTTTTAAGGTCGTCTGAAGGTTATGGCACATTTCAAAGTTTGCGTAATGTTGGTGCAATGGGCAAGGCTAGTCATGTAACTCTGAGCCTTTGGCCGAGAGCAGAACCATTCGCATACGGTATCTTTCACGTTCATCCTCATCCAAGACTTGCTGTCCATGTAAGAACGTTTTCCTAATATATTTAGGCCTTATTGTGTGTTTTAGAACATCAAAAAGCTTGTTACTTATGCGAAAACCAAAGGTAAAACTGGATCAAGATTAAGGTAGATCATCTTAATTTTTGATGGGTCAATTTACATCTCTTTCTAGTTATTCTGTTTGGAAACATGTAGCATGTAATAAGCTTCAGCTGACTGAGGATTTGGCTTGGGTGTATGTTTAATTTTAATTTATACAGTTATTTAGCCTCTTTCACACATGCCTAACTATGTCGGCGACACAATACGAAAAGCTTAAGGATTTTGATGAGAGGATATTTACTGCAGCAAACTCAGCAGATGCCGGTAGTTACATGTTTTCAGAGCTACATAATTTGTAGAGAGGATTCGTACTTCACAATCCGTTAATTTGTTCACATTTGTACTCTTTCTGTACATACAACAAATAAACAAGATATCTCTGCGAGCTTCGGCAGTGTCAGCCAGTGCTGAGTTAGTTTTCTGGGATCTTATTATTTACTCTGCTAGGTGGCCTGGTAGTTATAGTCGTTCATCCGAGTTGGATTCAGGTCGTTCAACTCCTATCAAACTATGTCGTGTAATTGTATGAATTTAACTTTCAGTTTTCAGAATCTAGATGAGCAATATCATTTTCAATTTATCAGTGAAAATCTGAATGAAATGCTTGATCTCCTTGTTGAACCCGGTAAATTTTATTTTTTGCTTATGTTTATGTTGATATGATAACAGTTAGGTTTTAATTGATTAGAAAACGAGTAACCTACAAGCTAATTCCCCTCAGTTGACTGTTAATTTATGTTTACTTTATCTTCATATTCTGTGTATAAGCATGACGTTTATCTGTATCGTTAACTTGTCCTTAATTTCTGGTCATTCGGGGCATTCTCCAATATTTAGTCCTTGTGAGCAGCTATCACTACCAGATATGATTATGTTCACTAATTAATAAGCATACTAATCATTGTTATTAACAATTAATTCGTCAATTAATTGATTACTTAGTAATGTATGTCGTAAAATATAACTATCGCATATTTGCAGAGTGCTAACTTCGTGTTAACCAGAAATAATCAACACAAGGTGAACGTTCAGAGTGTGCAGAAAACCTGTGAATTAATGACAATGTAAATGTACTCAGTGTGTTGAATTAAAACGGACTCTCATTCACACTTATGTCTAAGTAGTCACTGTTTACGGCAAATATTTTTAGTTGTCCCTTACTATATTTCCCTAGATATAATTCCATCTATGTTGTCTTAATAAATGATGTTAATTTGACTGTTATCTAATCACATTTAGCAATCATTTCTAGTCTCCTGTTTGCATTGTCGACTCCTTCTGGTTTGCTTTATCACTTTTTTGGTTTTTCTTTATTTCTCATGCAAAATGGGTTCTTGATCCAAAACACGTACTGTGTGTGTACATTATATTGCTTACCGTTTTATACTTTATATTTAGATAACCAAGGTGGAAATAGTATGGATGCAACATTGTCTGAAGGTGCTGTCGAAGCTTTGGACCTTGTTTTGGAAGGATCAGCTGATGAAGGAAGGTGTGGCTACTTTTATATACTTTTAACCTTATTTTATTTCAGGACACTTAATTCATTCTCAGAACTTGTCCATATACCGACAATTCTACCAGCAACTGGCTACTCCAAGGTATTTCCTTGTTGCTTGTTCATTCTGAAATCAACAAAAACTTACAAAATTTACTTTTGTCGTCATATTGTGTTTATTTACTCGTTAATATAGAGGCTCACACTGTTCACATCCCACTAATATGTCTTGTATAGACAATATTAACGAAAAATATTCGTTTAAGGCTTTATTATAACACGGTTCCTAAATTTTTGTTATTTGTGGTAGTATTCATAATAGTCTCCATTTTTTTTTCGCGAAAATTCCAGCTCCACTTAGATGGTGTTGCTGGATATTTGATGCCGGTTACACCAAATCCTCATTTGGAGATCGATGCTAATCGCTTTGTGGTGAATCGTATTTTCCAGATTAAAATGAATTACAGCTGTTTTTATGTACCATAATCTAAGGTAGTTATTTACAATATATAACTGTACTTTATCAGTCGCTTCCTCATTTGGTTATTTCCAGTCACTTCATTTGCTTCAAACTATATAAAACCTTTTGTAGGTTACACATGCTTTTCATTTACGTGGCCTTCTTTCTTGGATTCGTTCATGGCTAACACAAAACCCATTTTCGGTTGAAAACTGTATTCGTAATGGTCGACGTTTACAGTGGCGTCTTCCTCATCAAGTTGTCTTGGACAATGAATCTGGTTTAAACAATACTCAGCAACAGCCACAGAATGATATCATAAAGCGTCAGAAAATCGCAACAAACGCGCACCAAGTTCCACGAACTGGAGGTCACAGTGGGTAAGCTTATGGAGAATTCATAACTCACTCTTTAGAAAACGGTTTCCAGTTGTTTGAAATTATGTCTCTTGTGTGATGCTTCATTAAGTATACGAAAAATATATACTCTGAAGTTTGTTCCATTTATAACTGCAGCATGACATAGGCACTTTGTGGTCCACCGTCATCATATTTACTTTTTACCCCGATATGGCGATTTAAAAAAAACTTTCCACCTATGCACCAACTCACATATTTATAGTGCACCGTTTTTCACACCTACTAAGTTGTTAAAAATCTTGTTAAGTGATGTTTCTTCCGTTGATTTTTCATACACGTTTTTAATTGGATATTCTAGAAACAAACTGGTTGTCATGTCGATGATTTCTCGCCAAATTATTGCTCGTGTAAGTTTATTTTAAAATGTTTACTTTTTGCATTGATCCATACAGGTTTTTTATTTAGAATGAAAAAGTTCAGTTATAATGAGTAATTTTATTGCTACCATGTTAAACTGCCATAAAAATATTTTTGAAAATTGTTGGATTCAATCTCCATAGTAGCGATCTTTTCTATCGATCAATAAAAGTGCTTTTCTGATGTCTATTGTATTATAGATTCTCTGTGTAGCCGTTTGATATTAAGAATTCTCTGTCGATATTGCTTAACTAATGGAGCAGTTGTATTTACAATTCACTGAAAAATCTAATTTGTTTCAAATTTATACCGCTTGACGTAACGGATTTTACTAGTTAGTAAGAGCAGATTTATTGTCTAACTGACTCCAGACTTTTCACTCATCAGTCAGTCAGTCAGTAACAACGTGGAACTTCGTACGTACGTACATCAGTTCGAGTTGCCATACCACATTAGCACAGAGATTCAGTTATCGATACAAATCCCATAGTGGTAGAGGTACTGAAAGTATAAGTAGAGATAGGGGACATGAAGGTTTGATGATGTTATTAAAGGAGTATAGTCCAGTGGAATAAATTGGGAAAGAAAATAAAGGGCATGAAGAATTCAGAAGATTAGAGTTTGAGAGAACACAAAGAGTGGATGCACCTGCGCCATTGCAAACGATTTTGAGCCATGTCATTCAAGGTCTCTAACTATCGGTTACTATCGTCTCGCGGTCCCCAACCAGGTAGTCTACACCTACCAACATGACTCAGTCCACTTGTCAGTGACTTCATGGATTTGTACCATGTTTTGGTCTGGCCGCCCCTAGCTTTCTTCCAACCTACTCCTACACCATAAAACATAGCACGTCGGGGCAGTCGGTGGTCGGGCATGCGCAGCACATGTCCCAGCCATCTCAACTGATTAAGTTTCACTACTTCCTCAATTGATTTGCCATTCTTACCTAGTACCCGTTTCCTAACAACTGCATTACTTACTCGGTGGTCCCAGGATATACGAGCGATATTTCGAAGACACCTATGGTCAAATACTAGTAACCTACGAATATCCTCTACTCTTACCGGCCATGTTTCACTGCCATAAAGTAGGACGGAACGAACTGCTGCGCAGTAAACACGTCCTTTGGTTGATAGACGGATATCTCGCCTACGCCACAAATGACGCAAGTTGGCAGATTGGTTGTCGTCGCACTTGAAATGGAATTTATTTTGAAAGCTGCTAAATACATACAGTTTTATTTTTTATTAAGGTCATTTGAATATGACAGGAATAGTGAGTGACATGATACTACAAATCTGCATCAGTTTACTTTTGCATTTTACAACAGCACACAAAAATAAGTAAAAGCGGAAGAAATATTGAAATAAACTGATAGAATGAAGTAAGCAACCATAAAAATATAGATGCGGAGTAATAAGACTTTCGCAGCCTAAAAAACACGGACTAAAATGGTTTGTGTCACTATTCTTGATATATTTTAAATATCAACTGGCAATGCTTAAGTCCCATCTAAAATTTGTAGAATTCCTCTTCACGTGTAATGACTTGGTTTGTCTACATTCACAATTACCTATCGCTCAGTATCAAAATTCTCCTTAAAATCATTTTATTTCGATTTCAGAGTTCTGCTACACTTGATGGTGCCACGCTTAAAATACATCGTGCCCATTGTAGTTATTTGTATCTCCTGTCACCTATGAGGTTAGTTTATCAACGTTAATATATCCTTGTGGTGGAAATCTATAAATACATTTGGTCATGTAATTTGATATTTTTCTTACCACATTTTTATTTAATAAAAGTAGATACTTACCACTGTAGTTTCCTAATACATGGTTTTTCGCTAGATTCATCGACTAATATTTGGTGATTCTGGTTTATCGATGCCAGATATTACAGAGTGCATACTAGCGCTCTGAAATGTTTGATAAATAGATAATTGTGAACCAAACTATTCCAGCACCTCGTTCTTATCCATAATTAACTTGATTCTTTCCTATACTCATGATAATTCCTTTCCTGAAAAATTAATGATCATCACTTAGATATTCTAGTAGAGTTTGAGCTGGGATTTCTAATTTAATCCAGAATTTGTGTTTTATCCTATTTAGGTCTCTTATTCCGGTCATAACTTTATGCCAGAATCGTTGTTTACTCTAAAACTGAAACCTAATGCTTTTTATGCAATGGCTAACGGGTTATTCACCTAGCTACAAAGTCCAGATAGCTATTGATCTACCAAAGAGGTTGATATTATGGATTGCATTCGATCAGTCCTCATTGGCTTTTGTGCATCGTAAGCAAGGTACTTTGAAGTTTCCATTCGTTACAAAATTTTTTACCATAAAATGACGAGTTTCAAATAGGATGAAACGTGCGTTTCAGATAACACTTAGCCACTATGACAAATTTACTTAAAACTTGTAACTAGTGACAGTGTCAAGGCTTTTGTGGCCCGTGATCTGACTCCAATTTGATCGTAATGATTGGTTGCTATCGTCTATCCTCGTATATAATCATTGACTTAAATCGCGTTAGTTAATAACGGAATTAAATAAGTCAAATAACGAGAATGGAGTTTCTAATGCATATATTTCGTATAATTGTTGATTAGACAAACGAACGGAGGAACGATGCGAAGATTAGAAAGCCAAGCTAAGTTGGCGCGCGGTGGAGATGGCTGGTAAGCCAACTCCCATTTAACAAAGAGTTAATCAATATTTATAAGCACATCGAGATAAATTACAGACATGTGATGAGTAACGGGATAAGAAGTGTACATACGCCTACGCGCTCATACAAAGACAGTCAAGACATTGATAAGTGAATAATTAACAAAGTCAGAATGTGACTCAAATAGAATGAATAGAATGAGCTGTCCGAAAGTTAGAATAATGAGGTATTTGGGCTTAACATAATGACAGACACTACAAGGCACTCCTTTGCAGATGTGCATACGAATGGGGACTGTTTAAATGCAGTTCATAATACCAACGATGAGAAAACTGAAAACCTTAGATACAATACCTGCTTTCAAATGCCCTGGTACGGCCAAAAATGGAGAGAGTCCGCTATCCCTCTCATGGAAGTCCTGTTCACTACCTACTCGCGGCGAGGGTGTTTGCGACATCGAGAAGACAAAAAGCTAATATCTGGCGCTTGGACCGAGTTAGTGGCTACGGAGGACCAAATGAGCTCCAGTATCCTGAAGGTACAAATAATGTATGGCTGTCATGAGACCACATCTAACTTTGCTCCTCTGTCTTGTGGATTGGACTTCCGGATCAAAGGTTCGGTGAGTGGCCCCTTAAGAAAACCGCCCACCTCGGTTTAGTCACCCTGGCAGTAACCCAGCCCACACAAAAGCTGAATAAGATCTTCGTGTGGCCCACACATATTTTAGTGCCCTCTTGCACCGATGTTTATGTTTAAATGAATAAAATAAGATACAATATCTAGATGTACCTGAAAACTTTTTAACTATCTAACACAAACTACTGATACAAATGTTCCAGTAGTTTCACGTTTTTGATTATAATATTTTTCTGGTACCGATTGCCATAAATGAATGCATATTATCAAGATAGATGTCAAAATTCAAAGTTATGTTAGTCTAATCGAGAAGTACATTTCATAGGTCTCAATTTTTTTTTACTGTATCATTATGTGCATCAATTTATGTAATTATCAGTGGAAATCACTAACTTCGTGTTTATACATTTTGTTTTGGTCCATGGTATTTGTACATGGGTTAGTGATTTTATCCTGTTTCTGATACCTAAGGAAATGGATCAGTGTTCGAACTGTTCTCCAACGATTGTAAGCCAATGCAATCGCTTTGAATGTGTTGTTTTCTAAAATTGTTAAATTACAATTATGTTCATTCATTTGCTTACGATATCTACAAGAATTAATGAAGTACAGTATATATGGTAGAACAGTCCGTTTTTAGTGTCCGCTGTTGATGTTGTATTAATGACGAGTTTATTAAAGAGTTTTAGTTGTCCTTTTAAGAACATCCATTTAGTGTTTTTATGTTTTTTCGTATTGTAGGTTTACTGTTGTCTCCAGTCCTTTCAGCTGACTTTTCAAGACATTGGATTTTTTACTTTACATCTTTTTCTTTCCAATGGCGATAAAAGTACTGCTAACATAGCAAATTCATATACTTGCGTATAACTAACTTTCAGTTTCGTTTATTTTAGTATTCTTTTAAAACGTGTTGTACATAAATGTACATCGTTTGTAAATTATTAACAAAGATGCTATCAATTCTCTGTCGGTTGTTTGTATAAAGCCTTAAGTTTTATATTAGTTACTCTTAATATCTGTTTGCATCTGAATCTTGAGGGAGTGTTGTTGTGCAATCGACGTCTTAAGGTTTTTTTACGAGGACATTCTATTATTTTTAGTAATGGTCGGATCAGACAGTCGAAAGCCGCAATTATATTGTTCAGTATTATAGACAACATTGTATTCGGTTTGTTTATATTTAAACTGTATGTTGTATCTTCCATTATAAATTCCTTAAATACTTTTTGTAGGTCTGTTACGCTAGATAAGTGTCGCAAGCTGACCATTGTTTTGGGACCGATTGAAAATACTCTCCAACTTAACCATTGTGAAGACTGTTTGGTTATTGCAGCCTGTCGTCGTGCTATCTTGGCTTCTTGTCGTCGGTGCACATTGCATTTAGCTATACAATCTCGTCCAATATTGATTCAGCCTCCTGTTCCAAACACTGTCAGTGGATCTATGATTATTTCAAATATTCCTGTGAATTGTTCGGGTACAAATACTTCTACTCCAGGCACCCCTACGCCTGGTAGTGTAGCACTAGTTGGTAATGAAGAAATATTGTTGGCTCCCTTTCATACAACGTATATGAAACTTGTGGATCACCTGAACAAGGTAAACCTTAGTCCGAAAGTGAATTATTGGGATCGTCCATTTCTGTTAGGTAAGTATTAGTTCTGTCATGGTGTATAGCTATAAAATAAGCTTAAAATCATTTATTGCTTACTGCTAAACTTAATAGGCAATCCACCTTCCTAAGCATTCATTTTTTGAAATTCGAGGATCACTTAAGTAAAAAAACGCCTCTAAATAGCCTGGTTCGGCCGAGGGTGGTGAGTCCGCTCTCCTCGAAACGCTCTCACATGGCAACGCGTATACATCTATTGCCAGAGTAGTCCTACTCGCTGCCTTCTCGCGGAATTACTGTTATTTACGAAATTGAGGACGAAAATTGAATGTCCGGCGCTTTAATCGGGTTGTTGTATATGGAGGGTCCGCCTAGGGGACCTGATAATCTCCGTCTTCTTATTACATTATCGAAATACAGTAGTTTAAACTTTAGAGTTAATACAAAATTTATATTATCCAGGATCTCAGTGAGTCCACTAAATGTGATTGATTGAGAATGAACCAGTAAGCATATTCCGATTTAGTTCTAACCAGAGCGTGCATTAGTTACTATTATATCGTGCTAACACTTCCCTTCAGAGCATATCCGTAGTATTTAAAGTTTTGATCCACGTTTATCAACGTAATTGGTCTGCACTTTCTTCTTGTCCACTTTTTTGGTGGTAAAGACGTAATGTTTTTTTATATGTAGATTAGACCTATAGGTCAAGGGCCCAGTGATTGGCTCCTCAAGAAAACTACCTGTCTCAGTTTGGGCACCCGGGAAGCATACAGGCCCTCACACAAATTAAATGATGACTACGATTAAAAAACTATTCACTCTTTAATTCTTGCCCTCGCAAATCATACTCGAAACTATTTGTTAGTATTCTTTTTTGTTATACATTGCGTCACTTGTCTATTCCCTTATTCTTATTTTGTATATTCCTTTATTCCTTAATTTCTATAGCAGCTCGCCTATGGTGGAAACCTCGTCCTATCTAAACGATTTCAAGTCACTGACTGGTTGGTAGCTGAATGCCACCAGCAACCAACATTTCTGAAACCATTCATGCCATTCAAACTGACCTTCAATGTTCGCACACTTATATAGATCGATCAACAGATAGGCTTAGCTACGCCTTGAGAAAGTTTTAACAGTGATGTCTGTTGTCTATCCGGGACCCGTATTCAAGACTCTAGTGAAGGACTAGAAACTTGCTCTTCCGTCGCTTCGAGAAGCTTGTTTCACGTGCACTTATCCAGAGACCTTGTGGTATATTCGTTTAGTTTTTCCAGTGTTGGTTATCGTATTAAGAGCTGGGGATGAAGCAGCACTAATTCATTAGATCCTCATTAAAAGTCGGTTATCTGGTATTTGATAGGAAAACTCCGTCAACGTGAGAAATCGGTGTGAGAAACGATGTCTTTTCGTTATCTCCGCCTACTCTCTGACAGATTGTAGGCCGATGCGATCGGGGATGAGTTTTATCATCGGTTAAGTGTCCTTGCATTGAGCGTGCGTTCGACAGATATTTTAGTACTAGCCGAAGTCTTGAATACTCATGTCGGACGTTCAGGCACAGAGGAGAGTTGTTCGGGTGACCAATGGGGACTTGTTGGTTTCAGGTCAAACAACGTTGATCATCCACTGCAACTTTACTCAGACTACAACCTGTTTCTTACTAGCACTAACTGTCGATACAGTCATCGCCAATGTGCTATCTGACGTTCTCCCTCTGCATCTCAAGCCTGGATTCACATCGCGATCAGCTGCCGCTGGTGTGGTTGTATACAAAACTGCCGTTCCATTTGGAGTACTTATCTGGACTCTGACCATGCTCTTGTTTGCATTGATCTTATCTAATGTCTCAATGGCCAACAGACTCATCTCTATCTAAACGGATCGATGTGAGCAAACCTGCTACATTTGAAGTGTTTCGAATCCTTGTCACGTCTGAAAAAGATGATGGAATACTATTCAATATTAAACCTGTCTTTTAGCAGGGTCACTGGCTTGTGCTCAGACAGTTTCCTGTATGTTACAGTTGAAGCATTTAGGTTTACGCGTGAAAACCACATTACTCACCTTTGATGAATTAAGTACTTGTTGAGAACTGGGAGATGTAATCTAATTGCTGTATTTCTCTGGGCTAATAGTGATCAATATTGGTGTTAAACGCATACATCAGAGGCTTATGGTCTGTGAAGATCAGAAAGTCTCTAAAGTTAATCAAATAACTGAAATGTTTAGTTCCGATGAAACATTATCGCTGAAACCGAACACTTCAGCGGTTACTTCAGGAGGCAATATTCCCAACACAAAGAGTACTTCGAGGCCTGTGGATGAATGCTCCGACGATAAAATTGCATTTCAATTTGTGCAAATTATATTCTTGTGTTAGTTTTACCTAACGGAGATACGTTTAATAATTCAGTACATTTAGTTCTATTGATCCTTTATACTCGCCGTATTTACAAGTTTGATTTGTATTCATGTTCCGGTAGATTCATACTGAAATATTAAAAAAAGTGGTAATCAACAGAACAAAAAATTTAAAATTGACTGGCTACATGTGAACTAAAAACTAGAATTCTAGGAAAAAAATAGGACTCATCAGATTTGTAATGATCCGGCCTACAGAATCAAAAATAATAATACACGAATATTAATATCAACACGCTAAGAAATGAACTGTGACCTAAAATATACACAATACTTTTATACTACATTGTCCAGTTGATAACCTAGAAACAGAAGATTGCATGAGCACGGATAGATTTTTTAACACAGTGACACAATGAATGAGTGAAATTATTTGCATGATAAGTAACGTATTATAAACAGTTTTCGCGCTTAATCAGCAAACATCAAATATAAAAATGATGACATGTAGTGTCACAAAACTAAAGAAGATATGGTATTTTACTTAAATTATAACTTTGTAACATTCTGTTTCTAATTTGGGAAAATTCGAGTAAATTGTAATATCCAAGAAGTATTGGACAGTACAATAACATAATACGGTGTAACTAAAATATGCCACTGAATGACCTTGAGATATTAACCCCTTTGAGGGACAGCAGATATAAATGAATAAGTGATTGTGCAAGGACTGGGATTTTTAGTTTAGGATTCTTGCATTTCGATTTTGACTTTTTATGCTATTTATAACGTATTGGAGTAGAAAATTAGTTTACTTTTCAAACACCATTCATGGATATTTTAAATTGGGAAGCTGAATTGCACTTTATGGTTTAGTTAATTATGATAATTGTAGTATGTTCCACGTATAGGGTGAAGTGACCATTTAACCTAAACTCTAGTGATAAGTATTTGGACTTATTACTTTTAACCATTTATCTGTCCTTTTATGTATGACTATTTATCGACGACGGTTTATTTCAGGACAAGATTCTAGTCGTCAAGACTCATCTCAACAATCATCCAGAGTTCGTTGCTGGGACTTACTACAACCCGCCCATTTTTATCCGTTTAATATTCCACTTTTGCTCTCTACTCGAGGTGAAAGTATGGACCGCAACCCGATTGGTGAAAATTATACTCGTTCTGAAGAAGCTGTTCCTAATGGTAATCCTCAAACTGCTAACTGTCTGGATTTGAGCGCATCACTTATAACGAATACGTCCAGATACTTTGCCGATTCAGATGAAAGACGTTTAGAGAACTATATTTCCATGGCTAATAGCATTCTACCAATTCCATTACCTTCCGCTTATTTAGTTGCTTTACATGAAAGGGCTGGAGCTTATCATAAGTGGCCTCAACATGTTATGGTTAGTTTCATGAAAAAACGTTCCTGTTAATGCAATTTAGCATTTTCGGTAACAATTAAACTTCTGTTTTGTGAAATGATTTAGATTTGTTTCTCGACCTACCACTCTACAGACTTCTATTTTCCTTTTGAAGATTTGTTCGATTCCCGATTTTCCAAAGGACTATTCAAATCTATGGTGATTATGAATTCCACTATATGACTTTACTCAATAATCCATTACATTATAAGCGGAGATGAATAGTGGATAACCATAGGATCAAGGCCTGGAGTTTCGTCCCATTTGGGGCTTGTTAGCCTGGTGTACCTGCACCTGAGAGTTGACGGTCAATACTGGACTCGAACTCAGTATCATTCTCTTCAAAGGCCATCGCGTTACCCACGCGGTTGCTAAGTCTAGATAGCCATTGGCTTGTAAAATGGAGTGAAGCTTAAGTTTTTTTGTATTGGTCGTTTGAATTTTCCCATCAATTTTCAGGACTGCAATTCGTCAGAACAAAACGCGCCTCCTGGATTCTACTGCTAGCCACCATCTACCTCTGCTGATAATGTTTGTGGCTTAATGGGAATATTGAGGCCGTCTACAGTGGATGCACAGCTGATAAAAATGACTGATGAATTACAGTCCTAAACATCAATGGAAAGATTCAAAGAACCAGTACAATTGAATAAAAACATCACACTGTTGTTATTTTACGAATGAGTGTGCTCTTAGATCGTTTCAAAACTTTTCTACAGGAAAATCTAAAATTTAGTTCACGACATAACTAAACAAATACAGTGAGTAGACATCTGTAACGTAAGTTATTTATTCTAGTGAATGAAAGTGGTTTTTGATTATTATCTCGCCACTGGATAATTTCATTTAGAAGCCTTCTGTATTACACTTATCTCATGGGTCAATTTATATTATACCGGCATATGAGCTTGTTATCATATCGTGGTTTGTTTTTGCTGGACATGTTTCCGGTCCATTACAGTGCATCATTTATATTATACTTTGAGTTAGGATTATCAACTGAATCCAGGATGTGCTTTACATTATTAACGTTCATATTAACAATCCGAACTGAGTACTTATCACTTCAGACTGCAATATTTTATTCACTAGGTATCTGAATCGTGTTATCCCAAAACTCGCCCAACTGGTATGATAATTGTTGTCATTTGTAATGGTTTGAATTTGCCCGAAATATCAGCAGATAGAAAACATAGACTTTTAAAAATATGAATAATTCTGTTTTGTTCTCCGTACTTAATTTGTGTTATGTATTTGTTTTTACAAATAAAGTGGCGGATATCTATAAGTCTCTATCTTTTCATTTACAGAATGCAAGGTTGACCCCTGATCAATGTCATAGTTTTAGCACTGTTGTGGATCAGAGATTTCGAAAATGGTTGATAGAATCAGGCAATTTGCGTCAATTACAACTCCTAGAACTAAGCACAGGTCACGTGAATTCAGTACCATCTTGTAATCCTACTGCTTATTCTGTCAACAAAAATGGTGTTCCTCTGTCTGTGAGTTCTACTTTTCGAAGCCATGCAGATCGATCCGATCATGGGGTTCGTAGTTCTTATGCTGATGGTCACATAAGCAATTCTATTCGGAGTGGCTGCCTTCTCGCTCGGTCAAATAATGAAAATCAGTTTGCTACCGACGATGATGATGCTGATGACATATGATAGTAATTCGTAATTTCTCGAGTATTATACATTCCAGTATTTTTCTCAATCAATAAGTGGTTGTTATTTATTTTGATTTAACCGGAAAAATAGTTATTATAATCTCAGTTTAAGCTATCATCTGTGATCATTTATATTGTTATTGTTTGTTTAAGACATGCATTCATTGTTACATTATAAGGGACATTTGATTTTTTCCAAATGTAATTCTTTGAATTTTATGGGTCACATTTTCTTGAAACTGTAAATTAGTTTATCAACGTAAAAATGTTTTGTTGCTTGTTATATCATAAAATTCTTTTCGGATTCCCAATTCTGACCTACTTTTTCTTGATCCTTACTTCTTAATACTTAATTGTACTGATGTGCTTTGGTTTCATCAGTTGGCTAATGTTGTATGCTTTAGCTATAAATGTGAATTATTAACTACAGAAACATGTTTATTGTTAAAACGTTCGATATGATCGCTTTATTTAACTGTTCACCTTCGAGTTCTTACGCACAATTGATCTAACATGTAGTTTAATGTTTATGTTATTTTTTGTACCTGTTAAGTACTAATGTAATAAACGAAAACAGTTGGAGACGACCAAATGTATTTGGTGAAATTTGAATACCATATGTCCAATACTTCATTTGCAAAATGTCCATCAGTTGTCTCAGACTTTGTTGTTCCTTCATTTCCATACCAGTCACTCTCTGTTCCCGTTCTTTTCTATTCGATCTTCTTAACCTTCTGCTGCCAGGCATTCCACTTGCGATTGGTGTTATACACTACTTATATTTCTGTCGACATATGTAGCATACTAACATGTTTACAGAAATGACATATTGATTAGTTATTGGATTGAAAATAATACTGTTTTTTATAAGAAAGCACTTGGTATCTGGAAAAGTAATAGGAATGAAAGCATTACTGATTAAAAAAATTTAACATGACCTTAAAATGCAAGTTATCATGCAGTTTGTTAAGAAATGTAGTTAGACTTAGAGCAATTATAGTAGGAAAAAGTAAAGACAAATGGAATTTATGATTTCTCAGTGACTATACGAGTTAACATAAAGATTAATTCATTTTTGCCTTGGGAGTTTGGAGTATCTAAGATTCTCATGCAATGGCGGTTCCGACCCAGATAACACGCCTCCCGAAATTGAGTCCGTATTAGAGCAAAAAACTATGCTAGCATCCCAGCGACGTTTACCAGTGGTTTTACAGCAAATAAAAATTTATTTGGGTTGCAAATGTACGACTGATGGGATGAAAGGATAAGCGAACCTCCAAGATTACTATCTACCGTTGCCGTTGGAACATGCTCAAAAATCTAAGGTATGCCCTTCTTTCTGTTCGGCCAATAAATCTGCTTTGACAGGTGCACGTAAATTTATAAACAAAGGTGGCGGTAACATGAAAGGGGTGCTTGTTAGACTTTGACTGAATTATTGAACGTGTTGTTGACGTTTTAGGAGCTTAAGCAACGATTTGATTGGTCAGTTATAGACATAAATAACAGTCGATTCAAAAATTTGTTCGGTCAGTTAAGCAAAGAATGTGGAGAATAAGTGGTTCAAATCACAGTTAGTTGGGATTGACAACCAATATTTCGTTTCATCGGCACCAAAGTCGAATATTTTATTTAAAGAACATCTGACTGCCTTCAGAAACAAACAAAATAACGAGGTACCGATTTTAGTATAAACAACCGAAATTCGCACATTTAGTACTATTTGCTTACATTACACTATTCAAAAGGAATAGAACTGAAATATTGATTTAATTAATAAAGTAACTTTGCAAATACTGACATGTTCGCCAAATTATTCCGTTTGTAGCACTTCTAGAGTTGCTGCGTGTCCCAAGACCGAATAAAGGAGGAGGGCTGGATGTGGAGTCGGCAACCACATCCCGTAGTAAACACCCTTGCTAAAAAACGCCAACTAGATTAAATAATTTAAACTCTCCCCTCCAAGTTGAAGGAAGAATTATGACACGTCATGATGAAAGCCGAGATTCTTCAGAAGTTACGAGGCCAATTACCCTTCTAATATTCGGCGAAACCATTAATATAGGTACATGGAATGTCCGAACAATGTGGGAGACCAGGAGGACCAGTCAAATAGTTACGGAAATGAGGAGATACAACTTGGAAGTACTCGGAATCAGAGAAACTCATTGGACTGAAGCTGGACAGCAAAGGATAGGTTCAGGAGAACTGCTACTGTGCTCTGGTCAAGAGGAAGCAAACACTCCACACACTTATTGGGTTGCTCTGATGTCCGAAGAAGCACGAAATGTACTTATAGAATGGGAATCTCATGCATTCAGGATCATCAAAGCATCCTTTAAAACAACGCAGAAGGTAATCACAATGATTGTTATCCAAAGTTATGCACCCACCAATTATGGAAATGACGACGATAAAGATCGGTTGTCCGAGAGGCTGCAATCAATCATAGCGAAGTGTCCAGGGAAGGACCTGACAATGCTAATGGGAGATGTAAACGTCAAAGTTTGAATGGGTAACTACGGTTATGAAGATATCATGAGACGACATAAACTAGGAGGAAAAAAGAAAGTGATGGAAGATTTGCAAATCTATGTGCATTCAACAAAATGGTTGTAGGCGGCATAATATTCCCACACAAACACACACATAAAGCTATATGTCTTTCACTGAATCACACAACGGAGGACCATGTCGATCATATTTGTATCACTAAAAAATTTGAAAGGTCTATGGAAGACGTGAGAAGCCGGGGCGGAGCTGACATAGCTTCAAATCACCACATGAATGTGGCCAAAATGAAACTGAAGTCAAAGAAGTACTGGACAACTGGAGAAACAGAAGTACAAAGGCTCAATACAGTCTTCCTTAGACATACTAACAAACTTACGGAATTCAAGATAACTCACAACTACAGGTTCCAAGCCTCATTGTCAATATCATCCGGAATTCATACAACGGACTACAGTGCAAATTAGTGCATGAAAGATAACTGACAGACGCATTCCAAGTGAAGACCGCAGTCAGACAAGACTTCCTACTCTCTCCCTTTCTCTTTCTTCTGATGGTCGATTGAATTATGAAAACCACGATATCTGAAATAAAGCACAGAATACAATGGATATCTTGGAATCAACTAGAAGATTTGGACTTCGCAGACAACCCAGCTCTTTAATCCCATACACATCAACGCATTCAGTTTAAGACAAACAGTGTAGCAGCAGCCTCTGCATCAGTAGGCCTCAACATGCAAAAGCGAAAAAGCAAAATCCTGAATTGCAACACGGAGAACACCTACCTAATCACACTTGATCGAGAAGCTCTGGAAGTGGTGGAAACTTTCACGTAACTGAGTAGCAACATCGATGAACAAGGAGGGTCTAATGCAGACGTGAAGGCACGGATTGGCAAAGTAAGAACAGCATTCCTACATTTGAAAAACATATGGAATTCAAAACAACTGTCAATCGATATCAAAGTTAGAATCTTTAATGAGAACGTCAAGACAGTTCTACTGTACGGAGCTGAAACTTCAAGAACTACCACATCCATCATCGAAAATATACAGGTATTTATTAACAATTGTCTACGTAAGATACTGAATGTCCGTTGATCGGATACCATCAGCAGCAGCCTGATGTGGAAGAGAACAAACCAACTTCTAGTTGAGGATGAAATTAAGAAAAGGTGTTGGAAGCCGATAGGACACACATTGAGGAAATCATCAAACTGCATCACGAGGTAAGCGCTAACTTGGAATTCTGAAGGGAAACGAAAACGAGGAAGGCTGAAGAACACACTACGTCGGGAATTGGAAGCAGACATGAAGAGAATGAATGGCTACTGCAAGGGATTGTCCAGGATACAGTTGGATGGAGAATGTTGGTGAGCGGCTTATGCTCCTACACGAGGGGTAGCAGGTGTAAGTAAGTAAAGTATACTATACCAATGTGTCTTCAACATACATTTTAATTAAACTCTTTCATGTAAATAATTTATACCCATTTCCTAATTATGTCTTTAATATCTTAGATTGTAAGCAGCTGATGAGAATCAGCGAAAGAAAATGGGTTCATGCTACTCTGTTAGAATCTTTGTTCTTGCTCTTTTCAAAATGATAAAAGCAACTATGTATATGATGTTTCTGTTTCTCCATTCTTACCGGAGGTATCTATAAAGATCCATTGTTTATGCTGGTTCTTCTTGTGGCCCCACACTTCCAGGGTTGTTGAATTATTTTAGTCCGTTCCCAGTTGTTTTTTATAATGTTTTCGTCTTCTAGCAGGTTTTTAAGACTTGAAACGTGTTGCTAGGAACTATCATGAATTCACTGGAGTTTTTAGCATCTCGAACGTATGTTGTATTTAGACTTTTATAGTGTTACTTGTTCTATTTTTAATGCGTTTTCAGCGTGAACTTGGCAGTCCCTAAGTGGTGATCTGAAGTTCTGCTCTTCATTTCTACATCTTTCATGGAACTTCCGATGCAGATATAAGTGGTATAGATTAACGTAATGTGATCGAAGCAGAGCTAGGTTGTATATTCTCATTTGTTCAGGCATTTAAATATTCCTTCACATTTTTCCACTGGTTCGATACGATTTACTCATGTTTTACAACAAACTACCACTCCTGGCTACATCGGATAATGTAAGGGTCGATTAGAAAGTTTAGAGTGACCAAATCATGACGTGGAATCATTCCATTGTGCGATTGATGATTGAATCGAAACACTTTAGTTGTTGCAGGCCTTCTGATTAAGAACTACATTATACCCATAATCAGTGATTGGAAGCTGTATGATATGTTTCGAAACCGGTTACAGAAGTGCAGTTGCGGTCATTCTCTATCTACTGTACTGTAATTCCCAACTTTCCTCTTCTCATTCTTTTTAAACAGTATCTCATTGAATATCATTTTTCTTCCCCTTCTCTACTTCTCATCTTTTAGCATTCACTCTAGCTGCGCTGATGCATGGGAAGAAAGCTTGTTTTTATAGTATCTGTGACTGAATAACTGATCGGAATTAGTAGTAAGTGGTAAAGTTCCGGATTTCAGTCGGCTGATCGTTTATGTAATAGAAATCATACGATTTAAGCTTTTTATTAACACATAAATGTTTATGTCTTTCATCAGTCCAAAATTTATTCGTCTTAACACATGCATTTAACATGTGATATTTAAATATATTTGGTTGTTAAGTAACAAACCTGACGTACATGTAAATCATACAAGTAAACACTTAGAATTCGTTCGGCTAATTTGCTTGATTCTTAACGCATTAAATCATAAACACTTTCGAAAGATATCTGTATATTCGTTACGTGCTTTGTATCTCTCTACATAAGAACTGTTTTCAAATATGCCTTTGACTTGAGCATGTGTAGTGAAACGAGTCAAATTAAATGACTACCATTCTCAGATTATTACACTAGAGTTCCCATTGTAGTATATTCAAACGATATGATTAGACCCATTTTGGGTCAAATTTGTATTCAATCAATATTGTAGTTGAGTTTACTGTTTTCAAAACTATATAGTATTCAAGAAGTAATAATTAGGAGCGGTCAATACGATTTCCTGAATCCAGTATCTTAATTCTTATAAACCATGCCTTTTCAGAACTCCGCCTGTAGCTCTTCTAGAGTTGCTGCGTGTCCCAAGACCGAATAAAGGAGGAGGGCTGGATGTGGAGTCGGCAACCACATCCCGTAGTAAACACCCTTGCTAAAAAACGCCAACTAGATTAAATAATTTAAACTCTCCCCTCCAAGTTGAAGGAAGAATTATGACACGTCATGATGAAAGCCGAGATTCTTCAGAAGTTACGAGGCCAATTACCCTTCTAATATTCGGCGAAACCATTAATATAGGTACATGGAATGTCCG